GGTGGTTCCCCAAACCGGGTGGCCCGCCGCCGGTGAGGGGCAGAGCAGAGCAGACCTTGTGGGGCTTAGAGGACTTGGAGCCCCGGGTTATGGAGGACACGGACAATGACAGCGTGCTCATGCTCCGACAGATGTACCTGACCTCGCTGGCCTACAAGGGGCTAGGTCAGCTGACGGTCCCGCAGGTTGGCTCCTCTTTCCTGGAGCACCCGATGGACCCGATGGAGTGCAGCAAGAGCCCGAGCGCAGCGAGGTGCTCATCGATCTGGGTCACGCGGGCCTACGTTCAATGGGCGAGTGCACTCCACCACTCCCTCATCAAGTTCGATGAGTGCCGCCTGGGCCAGGTGGTTGTGAAGTCCACGGCATTGTCAACGGACCTTCCTCTCCACCATTGGCATGACCTGCGTTGCAACCACGGGTCTCACCCCAGGGGAGAAAAGCTCAACTCCAGTGACCTCAGCCGGTACCCGGAGCAGATGATGCAGGGTCTAGCAGCGGCCATCCTTTGCCGAGCGGGACCCGTCCTGGAGGCGCTGAGGCCGGGGGCATGGCGCCCCAGGCTAACCCAACGACCCCCCCGAGGCGTCCAAGGGAACCTTCTCCCAGCACGCCGGGGGACAACAAGCGCCAGTCCCGGAGGCTGAAGGCGGGCCAACAAGCGTTGGCAGGTCTGACCTTGGGCTCACTTCCGGTCTCGGCCTCGGATAATCCAGAGGCTGGGACATCGACACAGAGGACTGGCGAGGTGGATGAACTTGGGGGGGGATCTTCCCCTGGATCCATGGGCACACCAGGGCATGGAGATCTCGGATCGGCCCACCATCCTGCCGATCACGCACGACCCCAATATCTCCGACAAGGTCATGTACCTCCAGATGGCTTTCAAGCAGCGTCCCTTAAGAGACGGTGGAGGAAAGCCCTCATGGGGACGGTTGGCCCCGTGGGCCCGACCGCTGTCCAAAGCAGCAGCGCTGGGGGCCAAGATCTGTGTCCTCACTTCGCCGTGGGGGGACAAGCTCCAGGAGTCGCTCTCAGTGGGGGATGGGTCACATCCCTTCCCGGAGGACCTGCTTGGGGCAGGCCGACCAGCGGACGGCCAACCCTTCTTCCTGGACATCTTGCACAGCGTGGCTCTGAACATTCAGGACCCCGACCACCAGTTTCCCCGGGACCTGGAGCAAGGTGTTTTCACTGGAGGTCACGGACCCACCCCTGACCTCGCCGGGCATCTGGCCACTCAAGAAGGAGCTGAAAGGGGAGGAGCCGGAGTTCCAGGAACTCCCCCACCCAACGGGCAGGGGTAACCCCTCGGCGGATCACTTCAGCGAGCTCATCCGGGGCACATTTCTGGAGGAGGTCCCCATGGGCATGGTGGAGGGCCCCTTCAGTAAGGAGGAGGCAGCATCGCGATGTGGCTGCGACAGCGAGGACCTTTGTCCCGGCCCCCTGGCGGGCTACGATGGCTCGGTGGGAGGGGCCAATGACACCATCAGGAACCAGACGGTGGAGAGGACGACGGCTCCGACGGTGCTGGATGGGGTCCAAGCTCTCCATTGGCTACATGCGGCAGCTGAGGAGGGACCCCCCTCTCAGGGTGCCTCTGGCCCCGAGGGGGGGATCGTCAAACCTCCACCTGGGGGCTGGCTATGGCCGGAGCCGGGCACCAGGTGGGTGCTGGGGGCAAGGCGGACGTCACCAAGGCCCACCGGAGAGTGAAGGTCCTCAGGAAGGACTGGCGGTTCCAGGTGGCCTCACTGGGGGAAGAATGGTGGGTGAACAAGGTAGGCACATATGGCATGGCCAGTGCCCAATCCTACTGGGGACGCCTGGCAGCCCTTCTGCTCAGGGTCCTCTACGCGCTTTTCCCTCAAGTGGATTGGAACTTCGTCTTCGTCGACGACTTCCTGTGGCTGCTCCGAAGCGAGGGGGCAGTGAACTTGGCGGTGGCGCTGCTGGCCACACTCCTGGCATTGCGCACCCCACTTAGCTGGAAGAAGACGCACTTGGCGGAGGTTAACACGTGGCTGGGCTTCGTGGTCCACCCGAACATCCCGCAGGTTCTCATGGCAGCCAACAAACACATCCTGGTTATGGAGGTTTTGCAGACCATGGTGGAAGGGCAGGCGATGCACTCAAAGGACATCGAGAAGGCCCTGGGTCGCATCCAATGGGCAACGGCTGCATGTCCGCTGGCGAAGTCGATGCTCCAGCCACTTTGGGCCAGATTTCTCTGGGTTCGACCCCTTGCAAAGGGTCCCCAAGCAGGAACTCTGTGAGGAGTTTGTTTTTCTCCCGCGTGTGATGAATGGAGATGCATTTGATCTCAGCGTGGGCCCACCCATGCTCCCGTGACCGGAGCCGGTGGGTGACTCACTTCCCCTGGTGGCAGACCCCCCTGTGGCCTGGGTGCCACGGGCCCCGGCTCAGGGGCGGGCGCTATCAGTCTGCACACCCGTTCTTCAGTTTTTTGAGAATTGTGAGTTGGGTGGCCCATGGGGCCCACCCAGCGTTGGTCATCTGACAGGGGAAGATGAGTCCCTGGCACCAACACACTGCTCGGATGAAAGAGTTATCGCGTGCTCGTGTGTGGTGCCGTTTGGTTAGCTTGCATACACAAACCAACAGCTGCGCTCCACTTGAAAGACTTGCTGAAGGGATCCTTGTTTGATTGAAACCCCGACCATAGCAGCACTCTACCTGTTGCAGGAATCCTTGTTTTCAGAACGGGCTATTGTTTCCCTTGGGTTTTTGAGACCGCAGCTGGCTTCAGGTTGCTGTGCAGCTGGACGTGGCGCCTTGCCGAGACTGAGTTGTTGTTTTTGTTTTTTGCGACCGGCAGGCGCAGGGTCGAAGCATAGGGGATCATGACTTAGACATCTTAGACTTGAACATTGCGTTATAGCCCGCGAACCAATATGGAATCATCTTAGCTTATTCGAGCCTATCATGGTTGGGTTGCTTTCGGCCTGATAATTCCTACAACAGGCGGCGGTGGCGGCTTACCCGAAAAAGACACCGCTTTGCAACAATCCTACCATCCCACACACATTGCCATGGCGCAGACGAGAAACCAGAGGGTCCCTTTTGGAAGGAAAGTTGTCTTTCAGGCCCGCTAGTTGCGTTCCTTGTTAGCGGGTAAGCAATTGATTTAGTTCAGCAGGTGCCTTTGTGAGCTCTTGTTGAGAAGAGGCAGGGGCAGCAAGTCAGGATTTGGCTGCACCGTTGTTTGCCTGTCCCAAAGCAGTTGGCTGTCCGCTGACAGTCAGTCAGGAATTGCATGTTTGGCTTGCCAAAGTCTCGAACCGCTTTTCGCATGAAATTAAATGGGTTCAGTCACTGTCATTACTGATTTTGTCAAGAAGGCTAGCACATGTGTCAGCTAGTCGCACCAAGCTACACCCTGAGTGCAGGTAATGAACCAAGTAGACATAGCAACAATCCTATGTTTGGTTTACGATTTCCAAACTAGTTGTCGTTGCTTCTTGTGTGTGTGTGTGTTGGTTTGGTTGTTGACAGCGGATGATAGTTGACATGTGATTGATCGGATCCCGATTGTTTCACTGACTAGGAGCCTCGATGCTGGAAGCTGCAATGCTTTACCCCGGCAATCTGCTTGAATACATTTTTCTTGCTGGAACCCAGGGGTCCCCTTAAAGGAAACCACCACGGATGGTTCATAAGGGTCATTCCTTCATTCCCTGCCTATCGCACCGATCTCAAGTTTCAAGCCAACGTCCTGAACCTGCAACCAGTATTGCGGATGCATCCGGATGCAGTTCTAGGGGAAATCACTAGAAATCCAAACACTTCATGGTTGAGCTCGTTCACTCATGCAAACTTTTTTTTTTTATGAACTGGATGCAAGGGAAACTACTAGAAATCCAACCCCTCCCAAAAAAACAAAAACGGAAGGCTTAGCCAGGGACCTTCATAGCTCGTTCACACAAGCTGGGCCTTGCCCAACTGCATTGCTCTGAAGCCCTTCTCACGAATCAGGGGTCGCCTGGACAGATCCCCAGAAGCACGCCAAACAGTTCATACACAATTCCTTTGGCATCAACTTTCCCGTGTGGACTTGTGAGTGCTCTTTTCCCATGGAGAGTGCTCAACTTTCCCGTGTGGAGCTTGGGGGCAGCTTTGGGCCGCGTTTTCGACGTCGACTCGCAAAAAGCGTCAGAGGTGTCCTGGAACGCTGCCGCCTTTGGCAGCGCCAAGGCCGTTTCCTTTTCATGCTCCCATTTGCAGGTTGATCAACAGGGCTCCTGAAAAGATCTCCATTTTGCAACCATTTGAAACATGTGGCTTTTTCAACACCAAACTAAAGTTGGAAACCACCATTTACAAGTTGCAATGTTCGATCGGTGTATTCACTGTAAGGATCCCTGATCAACCCAGCTTTCGGGGAGAGGGCGAAGGGGAGGGTTGATACAAGGCTTCTAAGGAGTCCTTTCGGAAGGGGGTCCCTTCAACTCAAGCCGACGAATTGGAGTAGCCTTTCTTTCTAATTCCTTTTGGCGGGTGGGTCAAAGCAGAACATCTTAAAGGGACAACGGGAATGCAGTTCTGTGCCTTGCAGAATCAGAGAGACTTTGGTGCCTGGGCAATCAATGTTTGCATGTAGCTTGGCCAGGGCATGACTTGCAAACAGCAATGAAATGATGGCTCTGAGGCAAATCCAGAAACCACGCGCCGGGCAAGGAACAACCTCCTTTGAATGAGACACACTTCCAACAATTGGATAGCCGGATGTGTTCTTTGGCATGCCACCTGGCTGAATTGTCCTGCTTAGTGACAGCCTGAGACCATGGGCGGTGAGCAATTGGTCATTTCCGGCAATTGAAGGGAGCATTGTCGCTTTTTTCAAAGCGCCATTCGCAGTTTTTTGGTCTGCAACAGGATGGCGTCCGGATGCAAATCATGTTTCAGTTCATCTACAAATCGGCCGCAGAGTGTTGACACGATTTGGAGTAAACTTGCCTACTGACTGCTTGTGTCATTTGATACGGCCGCGGATGACTCGGCTCAGAGCTGCTGGTGCTGCTGCTATTGTCCTCGTTGTTCGTTGACCATGGAGGGGGCTTTTATCTATGGAACTACCATCAACGACGAGGAGGCCGGACTAGACACGTGTGTGTGTGTGTGTGTGGTGAGTGAAAGAGTGTGAGTGCATGCCTGCGTGCCTGCGTGCCTGCGTCCGTGTGTGTGTGTGTGTGTGCGCGTGGTTGTTTGTGTTGTCATTGTAAGATCCGGGTTGGTTTTATTTTGTGTACGTGGTAAGTGGTTGTACCCCTTCCTCAGTCAGGGGGGATCTTCAGCTTCACTCAGAGGGTGACAGCAAAGCAGGTTAAGGAGGCTAACATATTTCAGGTAAGCACCACGTATCGATCCGTTTGCAGGTTGTGAAGGACTTCCGAGCCTTTGTGACCACGCACAAGGCCCGCCATTTTGTCGACCGTGCAGTGGAAGGATTCCACCGGCAACGTGAGAATTCGCGTAATGTTGGATCCTCTTGAATAGGACCCCCACCCCACCCCGAAGAGTGCGAACAATCATGTTGACCTTTTGAGGGGGTACCTGGGTTGGACTTGGGCTTACCAATGGTTGATTTAGTGTTGCCGACACTAAAATTGGTGTCGCCAATACTTAATCTCAAGATTTAGTATTGCCTATTTTCGATCGGTTAGCCCTTCCCAGCTCGGAGGCGAAAGGCTGTAGATCTAGGAATTCCTGTTTTGAAGCGGCAGCTAGGAAGGGATTAGACAAGCCACTTTTTGAGAGTGAAAGGCTGAGGTTTTGATCACGTATTTTTATCTGAAAAGAAGGCATGCGTTTGTGTACCGCGTTCTGTATTATTTGGTTTGGACATTGTTACATATATATATATATACATATACAACACAGGACCCCAACACGGTCCTTGGTTCCGAAATTAGGGTCCAACATGAGCGCGCATACCGCAGGCGGTCAGGGTCCCCCCACTTACAAACTAGTCAGATGGCAATCCGAGCCGGTCATCGCTGGAATCGTCTTGGGGCATGTCTTGGTAGGAAGCATAAATTGCTATTTGAGGTTGCCAGTCTGTGTGTGTGTGTGTGCGTGTGCGTCGTGCTGGCTTCAGGCAGTTTTTTGCTAACAGTCAACATGTGTAGCGACTGGTGAGTTTTGCATTTCTGTGCCTTTTTTTGTTTTGCTACATGTGCAATGATGTAAAAAAACGAAGTCCGGGTGGTATCGGCTTAGATAAGCGGTGGGGACCAGGAAAATTTGTTCATTGCGGCAGGTATTGAAAATCGTGAACAACCATGCAAGAAATGAAGCAAAGCCGCAACAACACAAGGTTTCACAACTTCAAAAGTGTGGGAATAGTTGAGCAACGCAAGGAGTGGAGCGGCCAACCCCTGAAACAAGCAATTCGAACCGCGCCAACATAGTGCCGCAATTTTCCGCGGGGATACCATTGGAAGGCTGTGGGAACAGTAGACAAGCTCGTCAGAGGCTCACTTCACTCGACGGCATGTGGTTTCCACTTTGTTCCCTAGGCACGGCGAACAAGCAAAGAAACAAACGTGGGCCATGATCAAACAGGGTTTTCGGGGCTGATTCGGATGGTCACTGAACTATACTTTTCCCATTTCGAGGATAACGGCCATGCCCCAAATTGACTATATACGTGCATGTAGGCCCCCGCTGGAATGATTGTGGAAGAGTCTTTGATTAATGTTGACGGCATCTACGCGAGACTTCGACCTCTCAGGATCCGCGCAGAAGTGCAAGCTCGTCGACGCAAAAAACTTGTTACACTTCTCGATTTGTGCGTGTCATCCTTGCGCAGGGGCCATGCTAATCTCTGTATCGTTCCAATTTTATCGGATGATCGCCGAAGCGAATCCAAAAAACGCAGCAACAAAAAACTTGTTACACTTCTCGATTTGTGCGTGTCATCCTTGGGGGGTGTTCCCTCCAAGAGTGACGAATCCAACCACTAAAAGGAATTGGACTCCCCCCTACCAGGGGTTCTACTGAGATCCGGGGTTAACATTACTTGGGTTCCAATGCTTCGAGGTTGATTTCCATGAGTGCCCACAGTACTTCCAGTCAGGTCGACAAGAATGAGGAGGATGCGACCTACATGAAGCAGCTCAGGAAGGTTTGGGAGCAGCAGGACAGAGACCAACCCACGGGCAAACCAACTCCTGAGTTGCATCGAGTTCTCATGTGTTTGTTGTTTAGGTGCATCGTTGTTGTTTGTTTTTGTGTTTATAGGTTGTTTTTAGAGGGTTTTCTTTGAGAGCGGCCCCGAGCTTGCTTCTTTTTTCCCGAGGTTTGGCGGGCTGTGTCGTGGAAGGGTCCCCGAACTGTCGGTCGCTCGGTCGGTTGGGTCGGCCGTCGACGGGTGGGTGCTTTTTCGTCGCTTTTTGCAGTGCGTGCGGTGTTTCTCCACCTTGATGTTGAGGGCGTGGGCTTGTAGCACCCACAGCGCATGCAGAGAAAGCAAAGCAGACGAATCCCTTTGCAACGGATACCACGCTGCTTTGTGCACCAACAACATGCCACGGTCTAGTTTTCTGACTGCTAGGTTGTGCAATGACGCAGGCACTGCACAGCGCAATGCTGGAAGTGCAATTCCAAGCGCATTGCGTACGCCAGGAGGATAAGGCGAAGGGCATCAAGTTCTCTGTGGAAGGAGTGCATGTTCACCAGTTCTCTCCCACGCTCTATGACCACCTGGTCAGCTATCCAACTGAGGCGAGTGGCTTTATGGTGAACGCGGAAAGTGCATGACCTTTCCCGTACACTGAAATGCTTTGGCCTCGGAAGGTCGGCGGGTGTGTGTGTGTGTGTGTGTGTGTGTGTGTGTGTGTGTGTGTGTTTGTGTTTGTGTGTTTGTGTGTTTGTGTGTTTGTGTTTGTGTTTGTGTCTGTGTGTGAGCGTGTGGTCACAGTCTTGTTTTCTGGTGCTAGTGCGGCCGTTCGCCTTCCTCGGACAATAGCCGACTGTGATCCCTGCTGCAACTGACTCTGCAACTGCATGATGCCAAGCTCAAAACACCAGCTTCAACTGACAGCCGATGAGTTCCAGAAGTTGTGGGTCTCTCGATGAATTCAAACACACAGAATCCAACAAAAGTTGTGCATGGGGTTCGCGGTTGCAGCCTTTAGGGTCACCCTCAGCATTCTTGTCACTTCAGCGATTCGTAGTGTCCAGCTTGCCAGGTTTGGATTTTTTCGTTTTGTGAGGAACGCACCTCAGCAAGCAGTATTGCGTGTCTTCGTATTATTTGCGCCAGCTTGTTCATTACGACCCGTCAAAAACGGGTGGTCTACATCAATCAATCCTTCGAAGAGTGAAATTCACGGCCCGCAAGTCCGCCACCCGGCAGGTAGTGCCGATCTTCGACCGAGAGCTTTGGATTCTCGGCAGGTGGTACACCTTTGTCCAAATTCAGACCCCCTTTGCTATGCTTCTTCTAGGCGCGAAGGGCAAGGATGTAATTGATGTGTCGGCTGCCTGTTAGCCACGCGATTTCAAGACGCATCCGAGCCTCAATTTTGCAGGTGAAACAAATTATGCAGTGAGTTAATTCTTTTCCTGAGATAATTTCCTGCGCTGGTATTGGCACTGGCATCGACACTTCAAGAGATTCAGATGTGGTTGCCATCATGAGTGCGGCAGCTATAGCTGTATCCCGGTTTGGAGTCGCGCAGCGAGATGGCGCCTGTAAACAGAACAAGGTTCAGCACAAGATGCAAGCTTGGGGATACTCTTCCAATGGACGGTGCAGCACGGGGTTGTTTGTGGTGAGTAGAGCTTGCCATACAATGTTCATAAGGATTGCTTTCCGGTCTGAAGCCTGCCTTTTTGCTTTCTCTCCAAGCTACCTGTCCTTCCATGATATCCTCCGCTAGAAGTAATTCACATCTCGTGCCAGAAATAGTTCGGTAGGCATTTCCTTCAGAAGCATATTGGAGGGGTTTGTTGAGCAACCAACCAACAAATCACCCAACCAACCACCAACCCAAACCAAAACACACCCGCCCGAAAAAAGTACAATGTTAACCATCTACACACGCACGCCCCCAAACAACCAAACTGTGGTTCCACCAACCTGAACCAAACCAAGCCAAACACACCCAGCCAGCCAACCCAGCCCACCAACCAACCAAACAAACAAACAAACAAACAAACAAACAAGCAAACAACAACCAGCCAGCCAGCCAGCCAGCCAACCAACCAACCAACCAACCAACCAGCCAGCACCCGTGGACCAAATTTCTTGTTTATCAGTATAGGTTTTCCAGAGGGCCCTTACGCCACTCGTCTTTGTAAATGTGGATGTGCCTGTCCATGTGTGTGTTTGTGTCTGTGTTTATTATGTGTCTGTTGTTTTGTTGCGTTTCTTCGTTCTTTTTGGGTTCACAGGCCTGTGAATGGCTTGAGACAAGTCGCCTCTACACGGCAGCGGAGTGACATGCAGGACAATCCTGTCAATGAACCATGGGCTGTGTAGAAAGGGCGACTTAGAAAGGGGAAAAACATCCTTGGATGCGCCCACACCAAGCCTATGATGAGTCCCCGATAGTTGCTTCCCTAAGCTTGCGGGCCGCACTTCATCCCTCCCCAGAAGGGTGCATGAGGAAGGACAACTATTGAAGCACATGATGAGGTGATGAGTCATAGTACACCAGCAAGGGACCAGGTCCAGGGAGGGCGAGCCGGCGAGCCTTGCAATGCTCGCCCTAAGCACTACAGTCATACATGTCATGCTCAGCGCGGTTTACAGGCATCCAATGTCAGCTTTGCTGCCGCGCTCTGACCGCACGCAAGCACTCGTAGCACCACGAGCAGCCAGTAGAAGCATGAGGAGGCCGTTCGTTCAACTACTGTGCATGGACAAAATCCTGCACCACCTCAGCAACCCTGGAATGATGATTCCCCTGTAAAGGCCAACGCACAATGGTTTCCCATTGTTTCCAAGTGGTGCAGGATTTTGTCCATCCACAGGGTGCGAGTGCCAACCTCGGCTAACTGTGTGAGAGCCACACTAAACTCCTCCCAAGCTCCGCAACGACATGTCCAACACAAACGCTTGCTCTCTGCCAAACCGCAACTTAAGGAGGCAACCCCCCAAACCATCGGCCCATGCCCAACATCAACTCCTCCCCGCCCCTCCCATGGCCCCATGGGTTCGGCTGAGGAGCCTCTCCACGAAGGAGCTGGACGTGGAGCCGGAGGAGCTGGGCACGTGCCAGGTGCAGATCTTCAACCTGCCGCAGCCCAAGGGGAAGGGGAGGGAGGGGGAGGGGGAGGGGAGGGGGGAAGGGGGAGGGGGGGCAAGGGAGGAAGGGGGGGGGAGGGGAGGAGGGGGGGAGGGAGGGGGGAGGGGAGGAAGGGGTGGCATTTCAAACATTTTCCTTGGAACATGTTGGCGGAACATTTCGGCAAGCCCCAGTCTCGGGTCGTCGGGTTTCGGACTCGACTCGTCTGCTTGGACTCCACCAGTCGCTTGGGGGCGGGCTGGCTTTTTCCTTAAGGACGACTTTTCGGCTGAAAGGTTTCACCTAGGTTTGTTTCCTTGAACTGCAGGCTTCAAGAGTATGCGCAAATGAAGACTTGCCGCGGTTTTAAGGTCCTGGCAGCTGCATTCCAAACAACATCTCTTTTGACCTACTTGGAAAATATATAATTCTTCGTTGCTCTTGTTGTCAGCTGTGTTTTCCAGGTTTCTTTCAACAGCCAGCCAGCGGGCAAGCTGTCACGATGTTGTCAGCTGGCCAAGGGCTTGGGCATGCGATTCTTTTGCCGGTTTGGCGGTCCTTTTGGAGAAACGGTTGCGCGCTAGGTCCGAACGTGTCAATAGGAGTCTTCCAAAATGCCATCCTTGCGATCGCGTTTAAATGAAAGTTTAAGTCAATCCACACAGAGGGTTCCTATTTTTGACTTTCTCCAGCTGTTCACAGAGTGCGTTCACGGCTTGCAGGCTGGACAAGGACTGCAGGATCATGCGCTGCATGCGCCTCGGCTCGCAGAGGTTGCTTGAAGGGCCAGTGGTTTGTTACGCAGCACAACTACGAGTTGTCGTATGATCCCAATGACTTATGAGCTGAGGCCTGAGGCCCTGGAGTAATGGAGGAGACCTCCCAGCCAAGTCAGAATGTTTGCAGGCTGTATTCCCACTGCGGTATTCCCCGCTGCCTTACGAGGTGGCACCTCTAAAGAACGGAGATGCTGACCGCGAATACTTGCGCGGTGGGCCTGACCAGAACTTGAATGGAGACACCCAAGGGCCGGTGGTAGTGATCAGTGTCCCAGAGGGTCATACCATCTTTTTTGGAACTCCCCAAAGCGAACGGTGCAAAAGGAGAGGGGCAATCCCATGGCAAGCCAGGCTTTGCGTTTCCACCCTCTTGTGGAAAACATCCCTGCGGAAGCCTCGCAGGTCTCATGTGGTTTGATTTGTGCGGATCGACAATGGCGCCTCTGAGTTGTTTCTTTTCAGCAGCCACGGCCATGATTTGTTGATATTCGGAATCCCCTCTTAAAATGGTGCGGGGACAGAAATCCCCGCCAAAACGAACAAAACCCAGCCCAAAATTCATAACCCCCCCAGTGAACATCCCAATCCCCATCTAACATAGACGAAAATGGGTGGTGCACTTACCCCAAAATGGTACCATTGGTTTTGACCCCCAGCCATGTTTTGCTCCTAAGGGCCAAAAGGGCGCTTTGCCAAGGAACCCCACCGACATCGAGCGGCTCATCATGGTAAAGGGCATCGTCATCCGATGCTCGGACCTCACTCCGGCACGGCGCCCCAGCAACGGATTGTCATGGGCTCAACCCCACGGTGCATAGTTCAGAGAGGAAGCTGATGGACAATGGACGCAATATCATGTGGATACCCGCTTACGGGTGTACATGCATGTGCAATTGTTGCTTTGAAATTTGAAACACAGTGTATACATATTATAATATATATATATATATACATATACATGTACAGTCTATATTTCTACATATTCATATTCATATTACGTACACCATCGTGTTAAATGTATGTGTGTTGTTGCGCAAAAGCTTATCAGATTTCATTCATGGCAAAGAGGGCGCGCTTAGCTCCCGCAAGACTTTTGCAAGTTTGTGTTCTTCTTCGGGTCCCTTAAAGTGAACATTTAGGTCTAAACCTAGAACCATCCAATACACGTACACCGATTCTAGCTCAGCATCTTGTTTGCCACTCGACCCCATTCCGGGAAAGCCGAGCTCGTTTGACTCATAGCTCAGCCGACTGGCTCATGCGTTGCTTCCTCACACGGGGCCATTTGTTTGTGCACTGGTCAAAGTTAAAAAATGGCTTACTTAAAGGTTTTGATTGTGACTGAGGTGTTTTCCTTCAGCTACCACTTGGGTGACTTTCATAGCCACACTAGCCCTAGACGTCGCCCGCGTTCCGTCAGGACATGAACGCCGCCATCTTCCGCTGCACCACGGAGGATTGCAAGAACGAGGCGGTTTCGAACAAATCGGCAGACTGGGGTCTCAGAAAATCTGGCGTTTGTTCAGCTTGATTGCTATTGTGCTGGATCTGTAGGCTTGCACTCGGTCGAAGTCAAAGGGTTTTCCATTGAAACCCACGAATTAAAGCCGTTTTGCAGAGGGTCAACCGCAACCAGGTGAGGTAGCCTGAATTCGTCAAGCATAGGTGGGCCAAAACTCAACTAAAAAGTGCATCCTTGGGTACTTTGTTTCCCTTTTGGGCGGTTCTACACATCACCTGTTTGTGCCAAGGTGAGAGTCCCGTGTTGATGTTTTAAAGGGGAAATATCGGGAGCCCAAAAAACAAGAGTCTCATACACAGTCCCCCTTTTGAGACGGGCAAAGTGGCCGCTGTTGGGCAAAGTCCCCTTTGAATGGCTCACCATTCTGACCGGTTTTTGGGCGTACCCTGCTGGAGTTTCTTTGAGAGACCTTGCTAACAGCTTTTGGATGTCATGAATTGTAGGGAAGGTCTGCTTTCTGGTTTGGCGTGAGGTTTTTGCACCTCATGCCATGAGTGTAGAAAGCTTCCCAAGGAGACACGGATGAGGTGTAGGTGCCTGCTTTCCGGTCCTCATCTTCTATTTTCTCAGCTTTTTTTCGGCTGGTTCTCTGCCAATGGCGATCTGTATGTGCAAAGGCCCAGGCTTGACAACGGACGTGAGTGTGGGAACGGGCCATGTGCTCTGCCAAAAGTAGACCCACATGTTCTGACTAATGGTCCCACCAGTTTGACCCCCATGTCTTCCTCATAGCCTGGCAAGATCACAGGTTGGCTTGGCCACGATTCGTTCCGCTTTTGAGGCATGTCAGTGAGTCCGGTCTTGTCTGAGTCCTTGAACATAGAGCGGTTGCTGCTTGATTCCAACAGCTCACTGCGATATCTATATCTTTTAAATACACACCAGCTTTTTGTGCCTATTTGCGCGAAGGGGGGGTTTGAAACGACCTGAAACAACGCTGCTGATCTACCAAGCCATCTGCTATCGAGGTAAGTTGCCGGCTTCGACATGGTGGAAGCTAGCAAATGTCTCGTTTTTTGACTAATGAGCAGGGTTGAATGTGTATGGTTATGTTTGCAGTATATGCATTATGCAAATTGTGCCTGAGTGCTTATTCGCATATCATGTTTGTGATCATAGTTAAATATGAATATACATATATATATATGTGTACACTCACATATGAGTATGAATGTATGCTTGATATGACCTCGACTGCTGCGCAGGTGAAAATCGTCCTGAACCACTGGACCATTGAAGAGCCCACCAAGTGCGAGATGTGCGGCGCAAGCCGCGCGGCGACACATTTTTGGCGTCGCGCTTTCGGTTCAAACCAAAGGCAAGGATGAGCAAACTCCAAACCAACGTGGCATTCGGCCATCTACTTTAACCCACCAGTTGCATCGAAGCCAAAAACCTGGTGGAAGATTTGGGGTTGCCCAGGAAATCCCCTTGCAAGTAACTGACACTTTGTTAACACAGAAAGTGCTTTGTTCCACAACCCTTCTTTGAAGGAGTTTTCATTGAAGGGATCGGAGAAATATGGGGGGCCCTAATGGTCAACACTAGCACCATCTTTGCGGCTGTTTGTTGATCGGCATTTCCTGTCGCTTTGTGCGTCTTTGTGCCTGAAGTTGTGGATGTGCAGGTGTGAATTGTACATGAACTGGGCAAAGCGGAGCAACACAATAGGCGGACCTGATGTTTGTCCCATCCTGTCAGAGGTTCTTCCTCCGGGACGGTTTTGGGTCGAATTTTGCCCTTCCATTGAGCTGGGGAGTGCGCAGGCCATTCCTTCCAAATCATCCACAACGACTGCGGCTTCACCGACCGCCAAGTCTTGAAGTTGCAGGCCTCGTGAATCGCTTTGGGGGATGGCAACGGGAAGCCAAGCTGGTGCGATCTCGGGGAATGAGAATTCCTAAGCCAACATCCAACTGGTTTCCTTTCAGGGGCTCTCAAAGCCTGGGTTCATTCCACCTTCCCTATCGCACCAGCGCTAGGTGAAGGTGGCGGGAACGTGACGACTTTCCGCCTGCGAGCAATAAGCCCAAAAGGGCAAAAGTTTGAACATGCCACCAGTCAGTTTGCAGGTCCCTTTGAAGCTTGCCGATTTGCGAATCAAGCATTTCCGGTTGTGACGCCCAAACAGCATGGGTTCCGCAAATGGATGCCTTCAGCGCTTACAATGGCTTGCGAATGAGTGCTTGGCGACCAGCGAACACGACTTCTCCGGGTAGCTTCACCGCCGGAACTCTTGCCCTTCGCAACGCAAACAATGACCAGTTTTGCGATGTCCTTGGTATGGTGGCCTGTAGAAGCACGCAACTGCTTCACAGTCAACACATTACGTTCCCGCTTGTGTTGAGAAAGGGCCCGCAAAGGTAACATTATAATCCATGAGGGCGATAGTCAGTGATATCTACAGTGAGGATAGATGAATCCAGAAAGACAGGTTCCCTGCGAGTACACAGGGGTACGACCAGGGGTGTGAATGACCTCTTCGCTGCTTGATCGCCAAATCGCTCAACATCATTAGCTGTAGTGTTTTGCGTCAAATTGTAGGTCTTATCCTGTGCATGAATGGAATTATGAGATAAAAGCCACAAAAGTATAGATCAGGTAACTGCTCATTGTGGCAGTTTGTTGCGGTGCAAGTAGATGCTTGCTTGCCGAGCGGCAGCTGAACACGGGGATGTGGTGGAAGCAGCGGTTCAGCCGGTCAAGCTGACTGCCACCAGAACGGCATTTACCCTGCATGTCGCAGGTGGCAAGCTTGTGACCTGGGGTGATCGATGTCCTGGAGTGATCCAGTTTATGGTGGTGACAGCAGTCAGGTGCAAGGGCTGCTGAAAAGAGTGCAGCAGATCCAAGCAAGCCGGTTTCCTTTGCCGCCATTCTGGAGTCGGGAGACCTTGTAACTTGGGGCAGTGCGAGCAGGCAGCTCCAAGAAACTCTGAGTAGTTTTGCTGGCGTTCTGGAATCAGGAGACCTTGGGAACCTGTGGCCGAATTTGTCGCGGTAATGACAGCAGTGAGGTGCAAGGGCAGCTGAAGAATGTTCAGCAGATCCAAGCGACCAGTGTTGCTTTTGCTGCTTTTCTAGAGTCAGGAGACGTGGTGACAGCAGTCATGCGCGAGAGTGTTTAGCAGATCCAAGCGGCCGACGTTGCTTTTGCTGCCATTCTGGAAGCAGGAGACGTTGTGACCTGGGGTCAGACAGACTTTTTCCGGGTGGTGACAGCAGCTCGGTGCAAGGGCAGCTGCGGCATGTCCAGCAGATCCGAGCGACTCGCGGCATTTTGAGCCTCTGTGCTTGACCTCGGAGTTTAGCGTTTCTTCCATGTCCATACCTGCGGTACCTAGCTATGAAATTTTAAGCCACAGTTCGTTGGTAGCTATGCACCAGTAAAGCGAAGCCGGGCGCCGTCAAGCCCTTAAGTCTTCTCAACTTGTCAACCTTCTAAACGTCCCAACATCTCACCACTAACAATTACTACTGACTGCCAGAAAACGCTAAATCAGCTGGATCAATGGTAAGCATTGCCAGCAACTCCTAAACGATGCTAAAACTTGCCAATTGTTACTAACAATTGCTAATAGCATTCATGTCTACAATTTAACAAACTGTTTTGTTCATTATACAGACAGTGTTAGCATTTATTTTATCCCACACACACACACACACACATTTTCGTCCAATGAATCGAGTTGGTGACCTCACAGAGTCTTTGTTCTGGTTGATCATTTTGGGAGCTTGCCGCATACTGAATCCAGCATGTTCATGAACTGTGCGTTCTTATGTTTTATCTCATAATTCTCTATCACCTTCTCTCACAATCGATTCGACCCACTTCGCCAGTTGCGTCGCCGTGAAGCGCTGGCAGGAAACTCCGGAACTCGTCCCCGACGGCGAGACGCCGCAGAACGTGGCCATCGTGGTCTTCGACGACTTGGTGAACCAGGCGCGCGCGGAGGGTCTCTCAGTCTCCCCGTTTTGTAGGAGCCCACCGGAGGGCTTTTTCAAAATGGAAATTTCTGGTACTTAAGGAGAAACCAAAAGGGCTCCAAACATTTTTGCGGGGGACCATTTTGAGAAACCTTTCGCACGGATACGGATCCTTTGGAAGGGTACATCCATTGGGTGGCTGACCTCGGCTCCCCGAACTTTGGGATGCGCTGCAGTGGTAAAAACAAAGGTTCAGACTTGTTCTGGCTACCCTCACTCTCACTAACATGGAACCTGACAGGGGGTCGCTACAAGAGGAAAATTATCTTCCAGGTACCCTCCCACAGCTGCTATGTTAGTGGGAGGGAGGGTAATCCACTCAGGAAGTGAGGTGGTATATCTTTAGTAAAGAGTGTCAAAGTGGTGTCTTGCCCCTGATGGGAAAGGCAAAAAAAGCCGGCCAACGCTCGGATTGCGCAGCTTTGTCTGCGTGTTTGATTTCATGGCGTGAAATGACGGGAGCATGTTCGACTGTCAACAGGGCGCGCTTTTGCGAGTTTCCAAGGATTCCGGAGCATTGCTCCGCAAGTGTAGCTCGAGTATGTGGGTATGGGTCAAAATTAAACCACCAGGCGGACCAGAGGATCACAGGTCTGAGTCATTGTTTCCATTTGGGTACCTATTTTTTACATCTTATGGTGCGCCGGGTATGACAATTATGTGCGCACGCATTCCGCGTAGTTTGCGGGTCCTTTTGAGCTGTAGGCTTACCTTGCATGCACTAAAGTCTGCCCTTCAAATATCGAGACTGGATCAGTTTCTGCTTGTTGTTGTGCTCGCTTGTCCAGCCACCCCTGCCCAAATATCTCAATGACCAGATGCCAGGCTTATTTTCAGTGCTTGTTTCTTCCCCCAAAAGGCCAGATGTGCATGTGCACCTTCCCGTGGCTAATCGGGTCCATGACAGCAGGCTTTTGCATCAGGGGCTTTCCTAGCAAGCCACAAAAAGAATCCCGCCGCAGGGACCCGGCACATGGCAAAACCAGCGCGCAGAACCCCTGGAGCCAAGTGTGAACAGCTCAAGCACGCAGCGAGATGGCCAGTCTGTGGATGGACCAAATCCATGTCGCACCAGCGCTCAGAAACCCAAGGGGAGGATGATCCATTCCTTTGCAAAAGCCGCCAAACGCTACTGTGGATGGACAAAAACCCGTTTGCACCACTTGGAAATTATGGTTGAAACCATGTTTTGTTGGTATTTACAGGGCAATCATCCGAAACTCAGGGTCTCTAAGGTGGTGCCAGACTCGCGGATTTTGTACCCATCCACAGTAGATCTTCTGGTCCTTTTCTTTCAACTTACTGAACAGGTATGGTTATGTTGGAATCTGGCTGTGGCTCAAAAAACCGGTGCCAAAATGGAACCCTGGTAAGTGGAAACATGGACCAAAACCTGCGGTTTGCCCCTCCGATCGTTTAATTTTGAGCCACACCCATCTCCTGTCCACTTACTGCACATGTTTCCTTTCCGCCAGAACAGGTTCCCAAGAAACGGGTTTCCGCGGCACCAAAGCATCCGGCGTCAGGTGCGGCCGGGGGACCGGGTGCAGGTGACGGGCATCTACCGCGCAGCACCAGCCGCCCGAAGACCGTCGTTTTGAGACGTCGGGGTCGGTTCAAAGCTTGACTGCTGTTGGGCAACGGATCTTTAGACTTTCACGTTTTGGCTGAAATCAAGGGGGTTTCCACTAACCCCCCCAAAAAAGTTAAACACTTTTTGCAGGGGGGTCAACAGCAAGCCAGAAAGATGAGGCAGAACATCTTGTTGCCCAGCAGATTCCGCCCCTTTTTTCAACTTTTTTCCCCAAACAGCGAAGCATTGGGGTTCTAACTTGAGGTATAGAGAATGGGAAAGTGTGACGCTGGTTCCGGGGTCCTGTTTTCCGTTTGTCTTCCTGTCTCCCAGTCTCTCCGGTCAGATGCGACGCTGGCTCCAGGGTCGTTTCCCCGCTTGTATCCCTGTGTCTCCCAGTCTCTGCGGTCAGATGCCAGATGCTGTGACGCCGGCTCCGGGGTCGTGTCTCCCGCTTGTCTCCGTTTGTTTCCAGTCTCCGCAGTCGAGCTCGGGGTCGTGTCTCCCGCTTGGGTCAGATGCCAGATGCAGCGACGCTGGCTCCGGGGTCGTGTCTCCCGCTTGTCTCCCAGTGCTTGAGATGCTTGTCTCCCTGTGTCTGGATGCCAGATGCTGTGACGCTGGGTGCGGGGTTGTGTCTCCCGCTTGTCTCCCCGTGTCTTCCATCTCCCGTTTTTTTTTTGAATGACGCTGGCTCCGAGTCGTGTCTCCTGCTTGTTTTGCGGTCGGATGCCAGATGCTGTGACGCTGGCTACGGTGTCTGCGGTCAGATGCCAGACGCTGTGACGCTGGCTCTGGGTGGTGTCTTGTCTCCCGCTTGTCTACCTGTGTCTCCCAGTCGCTGGCTCCGGGGTCGTGTCTCCCGCTTGTCTCCCAGTCTCTGCGGATGCTGTGACGCCGGCTCCGCGGTCGTGTCTCCCTTGTCTCCCTGTGTCTCCCAGTCTCTGCAGGCAGATGCCAGATGCTGTGACGCTGGCCCCTGGGTCATATCTCCCGCTTGTCTCCCAGTCTCTGCGCTTGGCATGCGGTAACCGGCGTTCGGCTCCCTTCGGCTCTCTTCGGCTCACGTGGCAGCAGCTCGCAAGCGCAATTGAGAAGCATCAAGCTAGAAACATATAGATTCGACAAGTCAGCAGGAACCACTTGCAACAATGTTTCGCAACGGGGAAAGGGCATGTCGCAGATTTTGCTGTTAGCCTGTGTGCAAAGCATCCTTGTGGAGCATCGTTGGAGCTAGAAGCAAGTAATGTCGAGCCTTCAATATGTCATTTTTTCTCGATAAACATCTCGTCGTGCCTCTGGCTGATTGCTTTGCTCAGGAAACTGAGCTTCTTTTTTTGGAAGCCAGTGCCGCACTTCTTGGTCAAGTGCAGGTTTGCATCTTTGTGGCGCACCAGCAGGGCCCTGTCGAGCCTTGAATACGTTTCTCGAGAAAAAAGCAAATATATAGTGACATGCGGCTGATTGCTTTGCTCGCGACACTGAGCTGCTTTTTGGAAGCCAGTGCCGGACGTCTTGGCCAAGTGCAGGTTTGCATCCTTGTGGCGCCCTGGCGAGCCTCAAATATTTAGACTTTAGTTTCGATAGACAAATACGGCTGATACCAGGCTGCTTTGTGGAAGCCAGTGCCGCACTTCTTGGTCAAGTGCAAGTTTGCATCCTTGTGGCGCATCAGCTGAGCCCTGTCGAGCCTTGAATGTGTCCATTTTCTCGAAAAACAAATATACTGTCACATCCGCATGATTGCTTTGCTCAAGATTCTGAGCTTGCTTTTTGGAAGCCAGTGCCGCACTTCTTGGTCAATTACAAGTTTGCATCCTTGTGGCGCATCAGCTGAGCCCTGTCGAGCCTTAAATGTGTCTATTATTCTCAAAAAAACAAATACCGTGACATCCGGCTGATACTGAGCTGCTTTGTGGAAGCCAGCGCCGCACTTCTTGGTCAAGCGCAGGTTTGCATCCTTGTGGCGCATCAGCAGAGCCCTGTCGAGCCATAAATGTGTCCATTTTGTTCTTGATAAACAAATATACATCTGCCTGAGTGCTTTGCTCAAAACTCTGAGCTGCTTTTTGGAAGCCAGCGCCGCACGTCTTGGTCAAGTGCAAGTTTGCATCCTTGTGTGGCGCACAGCAGAGCCCTGTCAAGCCTTAAATCTGTATTTTTGTTCTCGATAAACAAATGCCGTGACATCCGCCTGATTGCTTTGCTCAAGATTCTGAGCTGCTTTTTGGAAGCCAGCGCATCCTTGTGGCGCATCAGCAGAGCCCAGCCAAGTGGCCGTAACTGACTGGTTTGCATCCTTGTGGCGCATCAGCAGAGCCCAGCCAAGTGGCCTTAACCGACTGGTTTGCATCCTTGTGGCGCATCAGCAAAGCCCAGCCTAGTGGCCTTGGTTTGCATTCTTGTGGCGCACCAGCCGAGCCCAGCCAAGTCGCCTTAACTGACTGGTTTGCATCCTTGTGGCGAATCAAAGAGCGGCGCAGAGCCCAGCCAAGTCTTCTAACAAAAACATCGCTTGGATCCTGACAGCATTTGTGCAGATTTGCGAGTGCTGGCCATGAATGCAGTTGCGCGCGCGGACAAGTGGCAAACAATTGAGGGTTTAGGGGCTAAACACAAGGCATTTAGCTTGGACTTTTGCTAGCAAGTAGCACCAGCAAGTGGCGCTAGCAAGTTGCAGTAGTGAGTTGCACTAGGAAGTTGCAGTGTGTTGCGGCAAGCGCTGCGCGCAGAGAGCTTGCTCAGACAACTTGTTGCTTGGAGAACTTGCTCAAAGGAACTCTTCCTCAGAGGAACTTGCGCGAGAACTTGCTAGGATTACTTGGCGCCGTGCGCTGCTCATGCTTTCGGGCCACCCATCTTCTAGCCTCCTCTTAGTAGCATCACTGTAGTTCGGGCGCCCTTTCTTGTTGGCAGTGCTGTTGTAAGCCTTGCCTCCTATCTTGTTGCCAGTATTTAGCACCTTCTCAGTTGGATAGCAGTGTGGCCCGGCCAAAATCATATCCAGTCTTTCGCTTCGCTAGCTGGTCCTGCGACGCTTTTTCCTCATTGCAACCTATGTAATCCAGTTCCACTGACAAACGCATTTTGCTGAAGCATTTCACACCTTCGTGATGCCAAGGTCGCATATGGACGCTGCTGTTTTGCACGTGTCCGAAAGTGCCCCGGGCTTGCAAGCGCGAGGGCTCGAGGGTTTTCAGGTGCCATTCTCTGAGGCGCTAGCTTCCCTACAGTCTCTGGACCCATGGAACACCAAAGGGGTTCAACGATAGCTGTATTGCATGGCGCTTGTGCTAGCCTGCCGCAGTGAGTGTTCTTGGAAATCCGAGCAACTCCATTTCATTCTCGCAATCAACGTTCTTTTCCGAGATCTCGACTTGAATTTGGCAGCTTTGGCGAGATTCTGATTTACTTGCTCGGAGCACACGTGGCTTGTCGGGAAACCAAGCTGGAGGGATGTGCTGATAGCATCAAGACCATCGCTCACTCTCACCGAAGCAACACGTGCTAAACACATGGCCCATCCATTTCTTCTTTGACGACCTTGAACATCGATTCCGACCCGTTCTCGCGAAAGGTTTCGGTGCTGCTGGACCTCTGCGTGCGTGGCGAACTCCCCAGCAACATTACGGCTCTGGTGCTCAATGTGGTGATTGCAACAAGGACACACGGTCATGGCCATGTTTCGACACATGTTCGGTGGCTGTATAATCTAATAAGAGTTGCTAACGCCGCCGCCGTGTTTCTTTTTGGGGTCCCATCAACAAGAGCCGTCTTGCAAATCGCAGAGGGGCTTCCTCGCTTGGTGGTTTGCTGGTTACTTGCTCTTGGAGATCTGGTCCTATCGCAGAGAGGGACGAGCGAACACACAGTCAAGCAGGCGTGCTTATCATCTTGTTGCATCGTAAGAGGGAGTCCGAGCTCCAAGGTTTTTTTGACCAGACAGAATTGTCCTGGAAGTAAAGCCTGGGTTAGTCGGGTCCCAGCCAAACCATAAGTTCTCACACGTTTCCGCGATGGAGCAGGGCTGGAGCTGACACTCAAAGCCAAGCTTGTTCCGGAATAGAGCGGCGTTGGGCGCATGGAGCAAAGCCATGCGTTGGCCATCTTGGGAGCATGGCGCGCTGGACACGACAGAGATGAAGGCCCTGCATAACCAAGCTACTGCCGGCTCAAACACTGAGGATTTTCTGGAGCTGCGCCGGATGACAGAGGTGCGCGCCAAACGGGCACCTTTGCTGACGCTTGCCAATTTAGCGCGGCGTGTGTCTGCGTTCCTAGGCGAGGATGTCCCGGCCGTAACGCTACAAGGCGCAGTCTGCAAGTCTATGCAAGTGCTCTCTTGCTTTGCTTGTGGCAAGACCTTTAGCCGAGCTCGAGAAGAAGATAGCAACCAGAAGTGGCATGTGTCCAGTCTCGGCCGCAAGGTGCTGAGACTGATGCGCAAGTTCCAGCAGAGTAGCGAGAGGGCCTGATGGAAAAGTGCATTGAGTGTCCGTGCTACGAAAGTTCCTTCGAAACTTCCTTTGATGAATGCCAGGTGTTAGGTTGATTCACCCCGAATCCCCGGGGCCTTCACTCTCGAACATGGCATTGACATGGCTTTTGCCCCCTCGAAGTTGATGAACAACATCGATGCTTTCACCCGGCGTCAGGGAGATGGATGGGCCCGATGTGTCCTCTTCCCAAAAAAAAGAACTTCCTACAGGGACACACATGGACTGATTGTAACTATGTGTTGCTCACATAAGCTACTCAATTTCGCACCTTACATGAAGGAGACAAGCCTTTTTTTGGTTATACAGACCTGTCATGCTTTTTGGCTCTTTGGGGTCGAGGCTGGTGTAATTTGGGGGTGTGCCTTTAAAGTCAAGCAACAAAAACAAGGATGCTGTTTTTTTCATGGCGTCTGAGAGAAGGAACACCCCACCAGGATGTTTTTTTTCTCCCTGGCGTCTGAGAGAAGGAACACCGTCTGAGAGAAGGAACACCTCACCAGGATGTTTTTTTCTCCCTGGCGTCTGAGAGAAGGAACACCCCACCAGGATGTTTTTTTTTTTCGCCCTGGCGTCTGAGAGAAAGAACACCCCACCAGGATGTGTTTTTTCTCCCTGGCGTCTGAGAGAAGGAACACCTCCAGTTTTCGTATTTTGACGCAATTTTTGTTCAGAGAAGGAACACGGCCTTGCCCATTCGGGGTGTTGTGTGCTTGAAAGCGTGGCCCCAAAAGGGTACCTACGTCACAGGATTCTGTTTAATTCCCGCTGGACAATCAGGAGTCCGACATATGCGTTCTCATGTATTGGCCCATTTGTTCGGCAGGGCACAGTGAGGAGTCCAACTTGCCAAGATACCTATTGTTGGAGCCAACTCAGTTCTGGAGCCTTCCCGTCATTTTGTAGGGCTTCATGGTGTGCACGTTCTGTATGTCTTAGATGTAGCAAATGCGCAAGGTGCAAGTCATGCAAGACATCTCTCACAGCTCTTTGGAAAGTTCCCAACAAATACTGCGCTGCGTCAGCTGAAGTGAGCACCCGAAACCTACTTATTCATGTTGTACCCAACGCTTTTTGAGGCATAGGCACGCGCGGCTGTTTGATGATGAATGTTGGTTTGGCCAGGTTCCTCGTCATTGGGGGATAGAACCAATATGCAATAGTCCAGTTTATTTGTTTCCTTTGTCTACTGGTTGTCAAGTACAACACCAGGGATGTACGCGATGATTCGCTCAGGTGCAGCAAGTGAGGAACTGGCGAATGCGCAGCTCAGTCTACAGGCCAGAAATATCATAAGCGGCGCATGTGGGGATGCCATTTAAGTTATCGCAAGGGCGTAATGAATCCGTTCTGCTCGTGTGGCATTGAATGTTTTTGACTTGATTGACTCGCCTCTGACACGGCTTTCTGCAGAGCATTCAGGTCTTATTGGCGCGTAGAGCAGTCAGATGCGGCCTGCAGCCTGTAAAGTGCTACAAGGGAGGCAAGACCAAGCAGGCTACTGCTAGGTGGTGTTGTTCCGACTTGTTTAAAGTTATGAGAAGCTTTGACAGCGACCCTTGTGACCACAGACGGGTTAAAGCATGTGTCAATATAGGTGCAATGTTTTCCAGGGAGTTTAACTGCAATTTGCCTGGCGGCGACTTGCTGGCGCTCACTTCCCATTTCAGTCCAGTGTTCGGATGTTTAAGGAACCAACCAACCGGGCGGAGATTTCCTTGTCCGGGTCCAAACACGATCATGAATGACTTTCTGTGATGCCAAGGAAGCCTCCGAAACGATCAAGTAAGGCAGGTATGGGAATCTAGGCTTGCTATCAAGTGTGTTTTTCTCCATGACGCAAGCATGCGAGCTGGCAGCATTGCTTCCCTTCCTATGGAGTCACGTGCTTCAGAACTCGCAAAGGGCACTTCTTCTTGTTTGCCCTTTTGCCCTTTTGGGCAGGTGAAAGGCAGACCAGCAACCGGTTTCCCTTCCCAAAGGCATGGTTGTTGTTGGGAAACATTTTACACTACTTCTTGTGGTTTTAGTGGGACATCCCCACTGAACTGCTAAAGTTTAAATTGTTGCTCCCCCTGCAACGTCAACCAAGAAGGGGTCCGATTCGCCGTGGGGTTCCTGAAACATGAAACTGGGGGCCAACATGGGGTCCATAGGGCCCATAGGCCATCGAGGAAAGCTCGGAAAGCCCGCAAGTTGAGCGGATGGAACGTGAGATCTCGAGAGCCGGTGAAATCTTGAAGTCGGACACCCCGAAATCGGTTGAAGAGCTCATCTACCCAGAGGCTGGGCTTTCAACGGAAGACCCGACCCCTCCATAAGACACTCCGGGAATCGGTGGTTGGGACCCGGTCTCAAAACCAGGTTCTTTTTGATTGCCCCAAGTTCAATCAGACACTCCGGAGGTGGTTGGGACCCGGTCTCAACACCAGTTTCTTTGAACGCCCCAAATCGAATTGGAGCCTCTGGCTACGAATCGGCGCGGGAACGCTTGGAATCGCTTCGACCGAAAAACGAGCGGCGAGGACCTATCTGGATGCCATCGCCTTGGAGTACTCCAAGGCGCAACGAGTGGAGGCCGCCAGGGGCTCAGAGGGCTCAGCCGGGCTCAGCCCACCTCTCAGCGGCCCAACGGCTGGACTGCGGAGGGGGGCAACGGATCTTGAGACTTTCACTTTTTGGTTGAAATCAAGGGGTTTACGGTTTTCCACTAAACCCCTCCCCCCCCCAAAAAAAAAACTTTTTGCAGGGGGTCAACAGCAAGCAAGGTGGGAGAAGAGCTTGCTGTGGACTGATGGGTAGCTTGGGGTAAGTTGAGCGCTTTTTGAGTGAGAACGGCTCCCTTTGGCTAGATGTTGTTTTTTTGCCCTAAGAAGGGGCGACCCAAAGGGAAGGATATTGCAAGGTTGTTGTCGTTTTACATGCTGCAAGATGTATGAACAGGTCGGTGCCAACAACTGGGCTTGTATAATAACCCCCCAGTTGACTTTTTGTGACGAGGTGCCCCAAAACCATGCAAAACGATAAGGAGGAAAGGTACACCGCACAGCGGTTTTTCATGTTTTACCTGACTGGTTCGAGTGTGCTGACAGTATCGGTCCCGAAAAGGGGAAGCAATCCGTCGGAGCAGCTCGACTGCTTAGACTCGACTGCATAAACGCCAGAGGCGCCACCGTGGCTCTGCCAAGGTCACCTGCAGAAGCAATGGAGAAGTACAGGATGTTTTTTGATATGTTGTACTGGGGAACGCAAGCACTTTTTGCCCAGAGCTCTGAACTGTTTGCATACATGAAGTATGTGGTTGGCGTTGTCCTCCAAGAAGAGTGCTGCCAGAAGCAACAGCCTGCTGTATGTTTGCACGGCCAAGACGATGTAGATCTTGTTGATGCAAGACGTCCAAGCAGCAAACCCAGTGAGGGTTGAAAGGATCCGTTCACGTATGAAGGCTGTTTTGACCCAGCTTTATCCTTGCAGAGGTTGAAATGATTTGAGGGACATAGTGCCTCCACCTGGCTCGGCCAAACACAAGCGTTTCAACTTGTGCGAACTACCCTCCCTCCAACAATCATGGAAGCTCAAAGCAAGGTTGTGGAAATCTACTTTCCTTTTGGGGAAGCCCCCTGTTCACTTTCATGATTGTCTTCGATTTTTTTCCCCTGTTGGTTTTAAAGGGAATCTATCACTACTGGAAATCTGTTTAGTTGTTTCCTTTAGGACTTCAGCTAAATGGAGGTGGTTGGAAAGAGGATAAGGCAAAGGCTAATAGGCTGACGCGTCACTCTTCAGCCAATGATGCGGCCCAGGCGCCGAATATGGACAACTACGGGCTGACCCAAGCTTCGCAGCTGCCGAAGCTCTCGGACGAACGTGCCTTAGAGCTGCCTTCCGGTTTGGTGGCTTCATTGTTCTTGGCATGTGTTTTAGTTTTTTAGTTTTTTGGTTCTGTTCATGTTTTATGGGGGTCTGCAAAAAACAAAGTTTTTTGCTACCATACCAAGAGTAGAGATGGTGGTGTCTATTTGGGTTTACACAGCTTCTTGAGCATTTGCACCATGTGATTGATTAGATATGGGAGTTCAGGCTTCTTTGAGGGAAACTAACAGGAAAGCTACAAGTTTGGGTGCCCATATTTGACACATTTCCGGATGTAAATAAGAATTCCATGACATGGGTGTGCTGCAAAACAAGCAAGGAGACAAGCAGGGGACTAGAAAGATCAGGTGAGGCACAAGCTGGCAACATGTCGAGGATTGACATGGTTGAATGATATTATGAGACGCGTCAGCTCGTCATGTCGACCGTGCATCAAATGTTGAGTTAGACAACTCATGGCGTGATGGCTTTGTCACGTGTTATGAGCCATATTATTGTCACGTGTGCGCTTTCCGCTTGCAGAGGCAGAGCTGAGGTTTGTTGTCTTCCGGTGTCAATCTGGGGGATAATCAGAGGCTAGTTGCTCCGGTGCAGGAAAGCAGCATGCACATCTTGAAACTTCATGGCCCGAGCGTGATACAGGGGCCAGGTCCGCACAAATCACGACCCTTCAATGAGTGGCAATCTGCATGCGGTGGCACAGTTGTCCAGTGGCTAGCCGCGTTCTTTCTACATATGCTCTACTACTGAGAGACGTCAGGCAAAGAGTGCAGGGTCGCAACCATGGCTGGTTTTCTTGTGATTTGTCCCTACGCACGAACAGCGACATTTTCCCGGCAGGCCAAACACCCACAAGGTTCAATGCGTGGGCAGTGAGGCTCTTAGTCATTCCTTCCGTAACAAGATTGCTTCTGAATTGGAACAGTGCAACTCCACCTGTTGGAAGGGAATCGGCAACCACGATTTCGGCACAACCACTGCGCTTCTTCACTTATTGCCTGAAGGGCACCCCGTGCAACAAAAGCTCATTCGAGTGCTGATCAACGGGATTAATTCCTTCCACGTGCAATTTGTCAAGAAGTTCACTGATACTCCAGAGTGCAGAGAATGTAGACACCATGACGCAACTATGGCGCACCTGTTTTGGGAATGCCCTTTTTGGGCCGATCTGCGCAGTCAATGGGATGAAGGTTGGGAATCCTGGTTACAGTGGAGCCCCTGTTCGCAACACCTTCTTGTGTTCTGCAAGGACCTTCCCCCTAGGCTTCAGGCTAAATGGGGTACGATTCAACGACAAGCGGTTGACCTCCTTGGTAAATGGGAAGCTCGTCACCGCGATCTCCGTACAATTGATTACAATATTCAGCTTGATCATGCTCCGGTGCAGTCTGATCGTGCTGATCGACAGCACGCTCAGCCGGAAGACATTTATTTGCTCAGCTCCCCCTTCCACGGCCACGTTGTGTTTAAAAGGGGACAATTCTTGACTATCGACCCTGATATGATGGCGGTCAAAGCTAACTTATGGTACTGGGGTGGGTGTATTGAAGACTTCCACCTCCTTCGGGGTATGCTTGACTGGTGCATATTTGACAAAGGCAAAGCTGAAACCCTCTCAAGAAGACATACTTGGATTGAGGCCTTGCTGCTCTTCATCTTTATTGCAGGGGACAAAGCGCCTTTCCTGCGGAAGATCAAGACTGCTCGTGAGGCCCAGTGGAAGATCCGGATGTTATGTCTGGGTATTCTCAAAATGCAAGGGATTCCGATTGATGTTGAAACCGAGCCGGACATGTTGGAGCTTTGTCAGTCTTGGCCTCCGCTGCCGACGTTGCCCTTTGGGCTGATGCTTCCACGGCACGACGGCATCAACATTGGGACTAAAGTTCTGGTCAACTTGAATGAGGAATATCTTATGCTTGGCAGGCCGCTGCGTAAGCTTTACGTCACTATGGATCAGGTTAATGCATCTATCACTTGCTGGAGGTCTTCGCCTGTGTTTGCCTCCCTGGTGGTTCGGTCTCGTTTGAATGATAAGATGGCGGGCCCGGTTCTTCCCGGCTTGAACCAGATCCATGACTGCCCTTGCATCTTTTTTGATGCTCTGACCTCGGTTCAGGATCGTCTGGATGCATGCAAGATCCTTCTGAAAGAGTACCTCATCGAGGTGGTGCCGATCAACTTCCTTTACAGCTTGGACGCCGGGCAGCTGCGCGAAGCACTCGGGAACTCCTCTGTGCGGAGACTTCGGTTTTGTATGGGTCGTCGAAAACATCTTATGACCGGGTGGGCCAGTCGTCTGGCCGGTGCCCCCGGGCTCTCCCACTGCTATGGCACCAATTGGGACCCCTGCGAGCCTCGTTGTGTGCTCTGTGGTTACACAGTTCCCTGGACGAGGCTCGGCAGGCTTCGCCGGATGCCCCCGTGCAAGGTGCAGTATTCAGAGGCTATTCTGCCTGCGGCCTGTGAGGCAAGAGTCGCTGAACTTTCCTCGCAGGTCGACACCCTTGTGGCCCTTCTTTCATGTTTTGGGTTCACTCCGTGATTCCCAGGCAATGCCCTGGAGGATAGACAGCGCCGCTACCGCCAGCCACAATCAAAGCCCGGGTAGATGAAGGTTGGTAAGGGAGAACAGCCCAAAATGGGTGCAGCCACTTTGGTAAATCTGTACATGAGTTCTGGGCGGTTTTGAATATGACTCAGGTGATTTAGACCCCATGACCTTCTCAGAGGACGAGATCAATTGGAACAAGCGGATGCGCAGCTGGGCTAGCGGTAGTTTCCTTTATTGCCGGTTGTTTGGGATGAGAACTAGAAGACGTTGCTACGTGTTGGTTGTTTGTCGTTGTGATTCTGTGTGCTTGTTTTTGTTGGGCTTGGTTTGGCTTGGCGTGGCTTGTTTGTTTGTTTGTTTGGTGGTTGGCTGGTTGGCTGGTTGGTTGGTTGCTTGGGGTAGCTTGGCTTGTCTTGGCTTGGCTGTTGGTTGTTGGTTGGTTGGTTGGTTGGCTGGCTGGCTGGCTGGCTGGCTGGCTGGCTGGCTGGCTGGCTGGCTGGCTGGCTGGCTGGCTGGCTTTGTGGCCATTGAGCAGACACTTCAGTTCTTCTTAGCAAGGACATTAGGGTCATCTCGCATCATCTCGCCAGATTTTGTGTTTTTTTGCTTTTTACCATGGTTTCTTCGGACCTCTGCTTGCCTGAACTCGGCTGTTGCTATCTACCCTTCTGAAGGCCTTCTCCACTGGTCAATCATACTGCCCATGAGCTGGATTTGTGCGGATGCCTAAATGAATTAGTCATTACATTCGAGCAGACAGGCAACATGCTACTATCCCTACAAATCCTCTTGCGCAAGCTATAGCAAGGTTACCAAGGCAGTGTTTGGCCTACTTTGGCATTCCTGACTTTTTGGAGTGTGACTTACCCGCTCTCCAACCATAATGCAAGCTGATATCAGGGCTTTGAATACGTCTTGCCTTTTGCGGAAGCCCCCTGTGCACTTGCATGATTGGTTTAGAGAGGGTGGTATGATTTTTTTCCGCCCCAAGGCTCCTCGAGGCAGCATTGAGGCGGCCTTTGCCCAGACTTGCGAAATGGTCACTCCTTGTCAGGATCACACTTCCAATACTGTGGATGGACGAAATCCACCACCTAAGAAACCCTGGAATGATGATTCTCTGGTAAATACCAACAAACAATGGTTTCCGCATGGCTTCCAAGTGGTGCGAAGTGGATTTTGTCCATCCACAGTAGGAAAGCTTGCGCTGCAGCCATTTGCCCTGTGAGCCATGCGAGGCGAGCTGGGCCAGGAAACGGACGCGGAGGGCAACCGCACCATCATCCGCAAGCTGTGGCTCGTCGTTGGTCTCGGCTGTCGCCTTGAAAAGCCTCGATGCAGATGTGGATGTGGGTCAAAACCAATGGTACCATTTTGGGGTAGGTGCACCACCCATTTTTGTCTATTTCAATGGGGATTGGGATGCTCACTGCGGGTACGATTTGGATTTTGACCCATGGCCATGTGTCAAAGCTGGGAAGGCGATTGAGGGCGCTGTCAACAGGAAACTTTCGTAAGAAATCCACTGCTACGTAGGGCCCCTTGTCAACTGGTGGTGTGCGCCAGATGACTGAGCCCAGACCACAACAGGGGAAGACCACAGACGACCGTCCAACAGCCCTTGGAGATCGCATCCTGTGTGTCTTCGTGCTTTTTGGGTGTTTGACCAATTTGACGTGGGGATTGGGGTTGTAGCACACCGTGTTGCTCGCCATCGTGTCAGCCTCTGAGATGGGCTGTTTTTGATGTTGGCCACTAGCTGGATAGTGCCTTGCACTAGAACCCGCGTCTGGCTTGCAGTCCTGATGTTTTGAGGCCTGGGTCATTCCATTTTGCTTGAGTTTTGTGCTGTCCATGGCAAGCAGTTTGACCAGAACCTGCAGCGTCCACTTGAATCACACATAGGGTCGCGACCTAGCTGATTTCAGAAGCCGCACTGCACATCTCCCTTGGACTTGATGTCATGGTTGTCGTTGGGAAACTTTTTACATTGTTGCTTCTTGTGGTTTAGTGGTTGAAATCCCCACTTAACTGCTAAACAAATTGTTTTGCTCCCCTTCCAACGTCAATCAAGTGGTAGGGCCTGTGTCCCACCCAGCACCATGGACTCTTGGACGTCAGTGAGCTGCGCCTCACGTGGCCGAGGATCCAATCCTTTGCGCCCTCCATCTTTGAAGAGGATGAGGCGGGACCTGGCAACCAGAGTTTTTGTTTCGCCTTTTGGAATTTGGGGGGGGGGGAAGGGTTCCCCCCCTGAAACTCAACCAAGCCAAAACGGATCCCCGTTTTTCCAAAGGCATTTTTCCCTTTTTTTGTTTGGGGAAGGGGTCCCCCCCAAAAACTCAACCAAACACTTGCCCAGTGGGCTCCCCACACTCCAATTCGGAGGGGTTGGGTTTTGAGCAATGTGGCGGAACCAAAACAAGAAGGATGCCCGTTTTTCCCATGGAAGTCCACTGGGCAAGAAAACTGGGGGAAGGGATGTGGACATATTTGTCGTGTAATAAATTTGGATATGTTTTGCAATAAACAGGGAATCCCCGCAGATCCCTGTTTTGCCGGTATCCCCGCTAATTTGTTTTCCCAACCTTGTTGTCCAGGAAGCTCTCTGAGAAATTGGGATGAACAGGCATTCCCGTCGTTGGTGGATATAATTTAGGCGGCAATTTATGTCCACCAACGCTTTTGAGGGGGTTCCCCACTAAATTTCATAGACACGTTTTGGGCGCCCCACTTTTCTGAGATCGATCAGATGTCACTTTTGTGATTTCTTGTTTGGATCAATGTGCTGCGTTGCAATTTGGGATTCTCTTGTTTCTTGTGCGAATCAGTGTGGACATGGGGTCGAGTGACGGTGACAATTCCTGCAGCAACTGAAGTTTAGCTTGGAGCAGGTGTTGTTTTGTTGTTTTGTTCTCGATGCATTTTGTTGTGGCATGAAATACACTGAAGGGGTGTGATGAATTCGAACGGCAAAGATGGAGCTTTTGCAAGCGTGCAAAGATGTAGTTCAAAACAGAGAGCAACGCTTTGTTATTGTTAATGATTTCGATCGCCAGGGCATACTGAGATGCGTTATGCTTTGTTTCCCTCCCATAACGTGTCCAAAATGGTGTCGGTAAGACAAATCACTGAGCACCTTGCCGTGCATTGCATTTCCTCGCACCGAGCGACAAATTTAGAGCGGGCTACAACCGAGGTTATTGGGAGAACAACGGTTGGTTCCCTGAGAAGATAGTTGCAAGCTGAGTTGGCTCAGCATCTCGTGCAAGCACACCACCCTCCCAGCTCCCACCCTCGATGCCTTCGGAGGTTAAGAAGGGCCTCCTGTGCCAACTCTTCGGTGGCACGCCGAAGCCCATCTCCTCCAAGGCGACTGCATGGCTCGGTCCGGCCACAAGGATTCAGATTTTTGGTACAGAGCGGCAGCCCAAAGAATAGGATGGTGCTCAGTCGGTTTCCTTTGAAGAATGGTTTTCCACTTACAGCAGGGTGAAAGTAGGTGGCATACATTTCCGTTGCTAAGTATATAAAGGTTATGACTACACCGAAGTGTGACAATCGTGCCATCTACTTTCACACTGTAGCTGGTAGTGAATGTGTCAAAGCAAGTCGAAACTCTCGAAATGGCTAAAGGGTGTAGTGTCTATATGTGAGCAACGGGCAATACTGCCAGGGTGTCTGTGTTTAGCGCTTCAACTGGTTTATTTCTGTCCGTCGTCTTTAACGATCGGACACATGTTGAAACAAGTCAGAGCCCGATGGCCAAGGGAGTAGCTTTAAGGCTTTGACTGAAAAGCGCCTAAAAAACATGACTGAAGACTCAAGACAAAGCACGAAGCTCACACGTTGCAAAATGACATCTCCGGCGCGGCAAGATGCGGTTACTTTGGCATGGCACCAGATGGCAAGTTGAAAGGTGGGTCGAAGGCCTGCAGTTACGGAACGGTAGGCCTCGCAAGTACTCGGAACCATGAAATCATGGAGATTCCGCGCCAATTGCCTCAATTGAGTCGAGAGCCGTTGCATGGGACACACCTATCGCGCTGAACAATCAACACCGTTCAGGGTGAGCATGCTTGACCATGAAATACCATGAAATTCTTGTTTGGACTTGTGCCAGACCATGTTCAAGCAGCGCAACATCTTGTTTATATCAGTGAAGCAGTTTTACACAATACGCTTTGGCCCTGGGCTGTGGGCGGGAGCTCTCTCGCTTCTATCGCCAGGGCAGATGTCGACCAGTGCCTCGGTGGCCAGCAGAGAAGCTGGAAGCTGCATCGCTGCTTTGTTGTTCAGCGCTGTTGGGTCCTTCCAAAAGAAGACAACTTAATCATAGGCTTCCCACCCTTGGAGAGACATCCAGCGAAAGGTCACGGGATATTGAGTAGCCAACTGCCGGTGATATGGACAGTTCCTGCAGCTTCAGTCTCAACGCGTCTTCTAGCGGCAGGTACACTATGCCTTGGGAAAAACAAGTTTTGCCCCATTTTTTTTCCTTTGGTGTTTCATAAAGGCCAGAAGGGGTGCTGGGACTTCCCTGGATCCATTTGGCGGTAGTGCCACGGATCCCTCCCATACGGTGGATGGACGAAATCCTGCACCACCTAAGAAAGCATGAGAAACCAGGGATCATGACTCCAGAGTTTCTTAGGTGGTGCAGGATTTCGTCCATCCACAGTAGATCCCTCCAGGCTTCCCTAAATCATAGAAAGCAAACGAGACAATCGCAGCTTTTCCGATTTGTTAGCAAGGATCGCAATGTTGGGTATGTGTGCATGTGGGGACAACTGTTGGTTTCGAACTGTTTGTCCACTTTTCAGTCAAACTCCACGGGAGAGCATGGTTGCTTGACTGATCATCACTGGCCAAGGAGATCAACACGCTGCTCTGCGGTGATCCGTCGACAGCCAAGTCACAGCTTTTGCAGTGACTTGGCACTTGAAGCAAACATGACATGCATTTCTCAACAATCAAACTTTGGGCAGCATGTACATTTCTACCCTACCAGAAGTTGTTCACGGTATTTCACGCATGTTATTGTAGAGCTGGCAGTGTTGCCACATGAGATATATTTACTTTGGACTGGACGTACATGCCTCTTATGCGAAAAGAAACCTCGTTGGCGACCAACGATGCTATAGTCTGTTTGCCTCCTGATTGGTAAGCATATTTACGTTGGTCCTGTTCCAGTCTCCGCGTAAAATTTGAATCGCTTTTGAGGATGCATTTGGTGACGTCGGCTTTTGTGTCACTACTGTACTTTGAACATGACGGTCTAGATGTTGAACGAAAAGCTAATGTTCTGGCATCAAATCAGTGCAAGTATTTGGCTCGGCATAGGCAGCACGTTGGGCTTCAAGGGATGCGGGCATGCTTTGTAGCAGATGCAGAAAGAATGCATGGCTTTGTGTGAGGCCAGGCTGAGGCGGAGCTTAAATGAACTCCATGTCAGTTTTGGGGATATGTCGGGCTTAAACATTTTCATGTGCACGGGAAACCGACCTCTATTGGTGCTTGCCTGGTGTTCACTTTGGATGACCTGGCTGCGCACTCAGGTACTCCTACAAGCTGGCACCAAGAGGTATCTACACTTCCGGCAAAGGCCTGGCCCTTGTTTGTCCGCCTGCCATGTTGTTTGACTGCCTTTTCGGAATGGGGCGGGCCAGTTTCTGAATGTGCCTGCAGGCAGCAGCGCGGTGGGGCTGACGGCCTCCATCAACAAAGATCCGGTGACAAAGGAGCCGAGCTGCGGAGTCAGTCAGCGGGAACTGTTGCGTTGTCCTCTGCGTTTGGATCCTTGCAAGAAGATGCTAAGCTCGCAGCTGTTCTGGGCTGATAAAATTTAGCTGGGCTGATGAGTGAATGTGTTTACTGAGTGTGTTCTATTTGTGTGCGTCAGCTCCTGATCAAAGCAGGAATCCAGCGAGGAAGGCACCTCATGTTTGGAAGGATGCATTTTGATTCTCATAAAGCGGGATCCGGGAGGCTGTTTAGGGTGGACTGGACAATATTTGACAACCATTCCGGCAGGACGATTCCAAGCATGCTCTTATATAGGCTAGGTCCCTCTGTAGTGCCCTTTTACCCTTTTTTTGGGGGAGGGTTCCCCTACTACAACAGACTACATACTTATTCTAACCTCTCTGCTGTACCTGGTAGGATTGGATGGCCACGCTCAAACCTCGCATGCGTCCATGGCCTTGCGGCAAGCCTCTGTGTCCGGGGCCTTTTCTTTTGGGAGGCTCGTGAGGCAAGCCTCTGTGTTTGGAGCAACTTTGGTTGGGAGGCGTTGTTTCCCGTTGTGCGGGGAGGCTCGCTGGTCGCATGAGGTTTCCCTTTGTGCCAAGCCCGTGGGGCTGATCGCAGGAGCTGGTCCTAGAGAGCGGTGCGCTGGTGCTGTCTGACCGAGGGCTTTGCTGCATCGACGAGTCGCCCAGCTGAGGTTAGAGGAAGTCGGGAGCCGTTTGCGACCCGGGCTTCGGGCACACAAACCAGAATAGATTTGGGGGTTGAACATGTTAAAACAAAAAGGCAGACTGGTTTGAAGCGCTGCAAAACACACATCTGTGGTTCCATGTAAAATTGGCTCGAAGTGTCATCGACTTTTTTCGCCGTTCATGATTCCAGCAGTTTCGGGGTTTGAGGGATCATACAGATGCCCACAGAATGGGGTGGGACCCGCTCCAGAAACCACAATTTCAGATGGAGGAACATAGTATTTTTGCGTTTGGGGTGGAAAACACACGGCCCCGCCAGACTCCAGACTGCGCAGAGTGGCTAGTGCATTGAGGCATTGAAAAATGTGGCTTGTCAATCCTGGATTAGGGCTTGAGCTTGGCCTAGATATGAAGCACAGCTGAGCAAGCCAAGCGGATCCAACATGTGCTGAGTTCTCGCAGGTCCAGTTGGATATGTTTTGTGAGTGACTGCTGCTAGGCATGACAGGCTAATAAGGTGAAACATGTTCAACTAGGCCTGATTCGCGAGGCTGTTTGCTAGTTTAGACATGTCAAGAGGTGCCGAGATCTACTTCAGGCACTTTTCATCAGTGATAGGATTGCAGTGCATGACTTGGCAACAAGATGGGGCAAAGCCGCAAAGATCACAACTTATAACAACTTGAATGCTCAGTCACACCGGATCTTCAAGGCATGTGCACTTGTAGTGCAGACGACATTAAAATGTTTCGTGTATCTACTGCTACTTCGCATGCCCGGGAGTGACATGTGTTTGCCTGACCATGCAAGTTGAAGTTTATATATATACATACATATATGTTCGGGTAAAAAAAAAACAAAAACAACTTTGCGCACGCCTCGGTTTGTCAAGGTTCGACAAGATGGACGAGAATGCTCGGGCAATCCTCCATGCCCCTTGGCAAGCCTCAAAGGCAAGGAAGAAAACCATGAACAGACATTTCTTCTAAGAGCAATTGTCTTTGGAGGAACGTGCTGGGGTGCTCCAGCTGATATGTTTTGGGTGGGTGGCACTTGGAGTTCCGAGGAAGTCATGGAGCAGCAGACTGTGAGTGTCGCGCCGCTTGGTTGAGATCTAGATCTAGTAGGGTTGCTCTACCACCTCCAGAAAACCACACCACATAAAGGTGTATATATATATATATATATGTACACATAGGTGTCCTTTTGTTGTAGAAAAGTAGATGGCCCTGGTTTACCTGGTGGTTTAATCATCTACCAGGGCCATCTATTTCCTCTAAAAGGGCACATGTGTGTATATATATATATGTATGGAGGGTCCTTCTTCTTTTCGTTTGACAGATTGGGAATAGAGACAGATAGAGCCTACGGAGGACGCCTGCTCTGAGTGCACCCTGAGACGTAGCAAAGGTCTCGTCTCGGCCATGCACGACACATGTATCTTAAGCAACTCCGACATGGCCCGACAACTCTGACGGCACCTTCCTTGGAATGAGCCTGAAGGCCTCACAGTTGTTGTTAGGAAACATTTTACATTTTGCTTATGGGGGTTTAGTGGTTGAAATCCAACCACTCAACTGCTAAAATTTAAATCAAAAACAGAGTGCCAGTAACAACCGGGCTAGAGCACGTCAGTGACTCAGACACGTTTGCAAGGTCTGTTTGATGAGTTGCATGAAGCGATCATGGCGCATGTGTAGCTGTACGGCTGCGTCCCACAGCCTGCTGGCAAAGCCTTGCGCAGGCTTGTCCTCTCAACTGATTCTAGCATTTTGAACACCCAATTCTGCTGTCAAGAAGCCTCCCAAGTCAAACTCTTTGGCAGTCCCGGCTGCTTCTTGTCCTCCTACACTACCCATTTGATTTGAGCGCGCCCACTCCGGACACGGGGTCGCTCGAGCTGAGGAAGTCCGGCATCGTCTGCTCCCTGAACGCGCGCACGGCCATCCTGGCGTCCGCCAACCCCACGGACTCGGTGTACAACCCCAAGCTGTCCGCGCCTTCCATGGGATTGGGATGGGCTCAAGAAACCGGGTAAAATGGGTGGCCCGATCGGTAAGTGGAACCACAGCTACTAAAACCGGCCTCGTAACCCTGGCTCTTTAATTTTTTTTAGCCACAGCCATGGGATTCCATGGGATGGCACATGGGGCATGGCGCAGGATCGAAGCAATCGGGACGTTGGAACCATAGGTCGTCACTCCGCTGACCCTAGATTCTAGATGCATGAAGGGAATGATGTGATAGTTTGTTGGTCGGCTACTCAAAGAAGAGCTGACTGAGCCCACATATGATTTGATGGCATGGGGAAGAATGACCAGGGGTGAGATGGGCGAGCTGGGAGTCTTTGTGGATATTCAGTTTGGACTCATTTTTTTCCGGTAGGCACCCCCGGCAGCGGCGGATCAGGTTTGACGGGCTGTTTTGCTGACCAAAGCCACATTCAACTCGCTTTTCTGGGGTTTGCAACTGGAGGTTACGCTAGGAAAGTGTAATTATCTGGAGATGCAAAGCCTAGCGCATGTGTCTCCAAACGCGTCCGCAAGTTTCCTCTGTGCCGCTTTTCAGATCGGCGGAGATCTGGGGTCTTTGTCAGAAACATATCATTGGTCAGATCGTGCGAAAACTGTCAGCCAAAACTGTCAGCTGAGACGAGCAAGTGCGAAGTTGAATGACTCAAATCGTCAGCAAGTCTCAAACAAATTGCAAATTCAATGTGTGTTTGCTTTTTGTCTTTGCATTGAGCGGTAGCTTTCCTATGGGGTACTTATCATTCGGCCTGTGGATATTCACCTGTTGGCTTCCTCTCAAGCTTTCTTTGTCTTGTGGCCTCTCACTCTGGTCTCTCTCCCTCTCTCTCTCGCCGCTTTCTTCTGGTTTGCATTTTTGCATCCCTTTCAGACATGCCCATTTGGTCAACCGAGGTGGTAGAGAACATCAAGCTGCCGTGGCTTGGGTTGGTTTAGAGCGAGCGGCCCAAAGGTGGAACGAAGAGCTTTCTGTTTCCGAAAGTTATGAGGAGTGGCAAGAAATTGGGCATGCTATTTGTTCCACTTGGCATTCATGCGTGCGAGTGCCGCGAGGAAGAAAAACATATTTGTTGGAAGACAAAAGGATGCTGAAAGGATGCCGCAGCTGTCAGGAAGAATTTGATGACGCGCTTTGACCTGATCTGGCTCATGCTGGACAAGCGCAACAGAGACACGGACCACAGGCCCATTCCTCAGTGTTTCCGCGGGACGGGCTTATATGGCAGCAAGTGCAAATCGGGCCTGGAGCCTGCTTGTGTGTGGTTCAAGACAAGGTCAACAGAAACCATCCACTTCAAAAAGGGCCCGGATTTTGACAGCTGCCTCCATGTTATGGGCTTTCTGTACACTGCCTTCCTTTGCGGATTGATTCAGATCTTGTTTATGGCCTTTCTGTATGTCAGAAAAAAATGGGCTGCTTTATCTTGGACCTGCTATCATGAAACTCTCTCCGCTTTGGACCATTTGTGAGCAAGCAAGAAAAACAACAAGCACCGCTTCCAGACGCGCTGATGTTGTGACTCATTTCCCGGTTTTGAGTCGCAGTGCAAGGGAGCACTGGCCAAGAGGCCATGCCAGTATTGCTGCTGACCTGGAACACACGCAGTCACAGTGAATCATGAGTTGACCACCGCATGGCTGTTCAAGGAAGGCAGGTATTGACACAGAACAGTCAAATGAAGGCCAAAAAGGGCGCGCAAAAGCACAAAATAATCTGTTCATTTGCAGAAAATTGAATGTGAGACATTCAACTTCCAAAACCTGATTGGAGGTTTTTGGAATGCAACTTCGCTAGGGTCTTCCTTCCAGGTTCCATGTCAGCGGTTGGGACATGCACCGACTCAGGCTTGCCATGCACCTGCTCTCCATGTACTCCGAGGGAGGCCAAGCGGCGAGAGTGGATCCCGAGGCGGGAAAGACACGAAGACTGATGAAAACTGCCGAGGGCTACCGGAAGTCATCCGTCTTTTGGTTTGCTCATTCTCTCATCCCCTCAACATCTGGACGTGTCCTTTTTGGGCAATCGGACTATTTTTAGCGGTAGGCAAACATTTTGGACTGCTTGCCGGCCTATCCCCTCAAAAAGTCGCTTCTCAACCACGGGTTTAATTGTCCGGAGCATGGGGCGAGGGCCAAGAGCGACCAGGTGGATGCTGAAGCCTTCCGCCGCTACGCGACTTGGTGATTTGGGCGTGGCGGTTGGAGTGCCGGGCTGGCGCAAAATTGAGTTTTGTCCGAGTCTAGTCCGTTCTTTCTGGCACGATCGCGATGGCAAAGAAACAAATTAGACATAGACTGTGTGTCCACTCCAGCCGGCACATTGAGCTTTGATTGTCAAGCTGTAATCATTGGGCAGCATAGATGAATCGAATGGACGGGTGGTTTGATTGAAGAGCGGGTGCAATGACAGCACCGTATATCCAAGACAGCGTATACGTATTTAGAGACTGGGGTTGCTTCGGATTCACGCTTCCAGTTTGTTTCGTCGACAACTGGCGTGTTAGTCTTTAACACGTCGCACCATGGACGGTTCCTTGGTGATGTGGGATGTTTTTTGCTAGGAGACAAGATGCATCAACTCCTTATTCCTCTCTCTGTTCTGATGCCCACAATTTTTCAAGTCGTTCAGGCGGCGTTCGGCTCTCTTGAATCAATGGAGGAGTCGGCTGGTCGCCTTTGCATTTTCGCGCTGCTCCTCGCCACAGCGTTTGGGCGTGGCATGCGGGGCAAGCACAAGGGACACGCACACGCGCATCCGAGGTGACCTTTGCTAGGCAGTGGGTCTTCCCCACGCTGTCCGACGAGGCCGCTGCCACGCTTGAGAGCAGCTGCCTGGTCAAGTCTCAGAGACTTCCGATGGAAGTTCACAGCAGCGGCGGACTAGGGGCTACATCTCGGGCGGTCTTTTGTTTTGCTCATGGGTGTATCAAACTTCCAGAGGTCTGTTCCAGCAAAGCTGGATGGCGGAAGCTTCTAATAAAAAACCACTCTCCTTAGTTGAAATTAGTAAGCCGTATCTATCACCACCCACGGTCAAATTGAGTAACGCACGTGCGCACGAGCCGAGGCTACATGGACCTCCGAAATCAGGGCTCTCGGGAAGTGCCACTTTGCTGATCTGCTTGTGAGCAGTCTGGGGGGTTCCGGGTACGAGAAGCTTGAACATGAAGAGGAACAGGGCTCCTTAAAAGATACATTCTGCCCATTTGAAACATGGCTTTTTCCACACAAAGTAAAGGGAAACCACCATTTACAAGGCAATGTTCAGGTGTATAATGTAAGGATCCCTGAGGAAATGCTTGCAAACTTCTTATTCCTCGCACTCAAGTCATGATTGGCTTCAAGACTTGGGGACTCCCACGGGCGCGCCAGCCAGAACCTGAAAATTCCATAGTTCCTGCTGGTGCAGGGAAAGCGGCCTCCAGGAAAACACTAGGGGAAAAAGTGTGTACATGCGCGTGTCTCGTTTTGTGGCTACTGTTACAAGGACGGCTTGCAGGGAAACTCAACATCAGGAAACCACCCATCAAAGAAATCGCCCTATTAAGCAAAGACAGAACATGATGCAAAGGGAAATCAAAGGGACACCCATCGTGTGTCGCCATTCTGGGAATACTTAAAGGGGCAAGGTGCTTAGCGGTTAGTACGCCTGGTTATAATCCACTTCGGACACTTGTAACCATGATCAGTGGGGTATAACCATGGTTTTGCATACTTTCTGGCGCGCTGACCTGGGGGTAAAACGATCTCACCATGTTACTGTAAAGATCCTTTAGTTGGGGATCCCGTATTTCAGGTTTGGGATGTCAAACATGCAGAATGGTCACTTACTACGTAGGATGGTTAGCAGGATGCCCCTTTTCCACGTTGGTGCAATTGACACGCAAAATTCGCCGCGGGTCTGAGCCACGCAAAGCCGGTTTGCTTCCTCAGGATCACCGCCACGCCGCGAATCCTGGAGTCGCTGATCCGTCTCTCCGAGTCCCTGGCAACTCGCCCTGTGGACTCCGTTTTCCCTCGGCTTGATCAGGGCTCCTGAAAAGAAATTAATTTTGCAACCATTTGAAACATGTGGCTTGTTCAACACCAAAATAAAGGGACACCTCCATTTACAGGGCAATGTTCAGGTGTATTCACTGTAAGGATCCCTGTTGATGGAGTGTTTATGAGGCCACCCGTTTGCTTGCTTTCTGCCGTTTAACCAAAAAGAGGGCTTGTTCATGGTGTTGTTTTTTTCGTTTTTGCTGTGAGGCCCCCCCGCCAAACAGGTGTCCAATTTTCCGAAGGTTGTCCTTTGAGGTCCACCCAAGGGCTCCCTTTTTGCAATGTTTGGAGGCGGGATAGGGCTTTCCAGTTATCAAGTTCTCGCGTCGGTTTCACAACTTGCACAGTACTTGTTTGGGAGTGGAAACAGTAGATGTCGACGTTTTCGGGGCCCATTCAAGAATATATCTGTTCAAGAGCACCTTTTGGGTCGACTTGTACCAACTTGCATTTGGGTTGGATGATGCTTTAGCATCTCATACAGGCAACCCGGAGAGATGCCGAAGCGAGGGTTGGGCCAGATGTTTACTGACTATTGACAGTCTTGGATAAACAGATGGGCCGTAGGAGGAGTGTCTGTCTGCGCGTGTTTGTCAAATCTTTAATGCCAGCGGCTGGGATTGTTCTAGATGATTGGATTGTGACCAAGAGTCGGCAGCGCGCGAAGAATCGTATATAGACGGCGCTGCAGGGTTACTTGGGCCTATGGACGTCGACTCCAAGTGGAACCATGCCATAAGCAAACAGAAAGGCGTGAATCCATTGATCTGACAAGACTTCCGGGTGTTTGGTGGCAACTTTGTTCCTTTCGAAAGTTTGGTGCTTTCCTCCCACTAAAGACGATCAACTCCTAAACTTGCCTCTTAAACACACAACTTTTCAACTTTTTGGTTAACATGGGCTATATGTCTGTAAAAGATTAACTTCCCCAGGGCGCAGGGAGTTTTAAGGGGTAAGTAAAAAGTGCTCCTGTCTTTTGGATTTCAACATTTTCGGCCAGGGTCACTACCTGAAAACTTCCAAGCGCCTTTCGCAGGCCAAGATGGAGCTCAGGGAGACGGTCCGCGCAGCAGACGTGCACGAGGCGCTTGCGCTCGCGCTCGCCGCGCCGTAAGCGCGACGGGACTTCAAGAGTCAAAGAGACCTTCACTCAATGTTTTCACTGTTCTTGGCATGTGTTTTAGTTTTTTAGTTTTTTGGTTCTGTTCATTTTTACTGGGGGTCTGCAAAAAACAAAGTTTTTTACGACCATACCAAGAGTAGAGATGATGTGTGTGTGTGTGTGTGTTGTGTGTTGTGTGTGTGTTGTGTGGGTTGTGTGTTGTGTGTTGTGTGTTGTGTGTGTCTGTGTGTGTGTGTGTGTGTGTTTGTGTGTGTGTCTGTGTGTGTGTGTCTGTGTGTGTCTGTGTGTGTGTGTGTGTGTGTCTGTGTGTGTGTGTGTGTGTTTTTCGTTCAGGTTTGTTTCATATGGATCATCTAGCACACTGAGTAGGGAGCAAATGGTGAGTTGTTGATTTTTTTTGTTCGGGGGTACTCCGTTTGTTTGTGGTTTAAGGGAAATCAAGAAGAAAGCCACAGGTTTTGGGGGGACCCCTAAAATGACACCAACATGTGTTCCAGGTATTTATGCCAGGACAGTTTGACTGAGCCAGGACATTTTGACTTAGCCCCGTGCAGATTTCGTGGAACCCAACAATAATTTTAGGGTTCTGCGTGAATTTCACAGGGAGTACATACTTTAGAGCAGTGCTTGTTCGAGTGGGCTTCAGATCAGATGTTCAAGGTGCGAACCTTATTGGGGACGTTCCAAAGAAGTGGATCACTGCCATTGCAGAAGCTATTGTTGCTTGCGCCGAAATACTGTTTAGCTTAGAACCAGTTTGAAGCCGGCTGTGCCATCAAAGTGCAGTATGTCTATTGAGAGGTTGCGGTGGATTCGGTGCTTGCTGGCTTTAACATTCATATGAGGCAGGGTCCATTGGAGACGATCGTTGCCAGGCTTTTGGACATGGTTGTCGTTGGGAAACACTTTTCATTGTTGCTTATTGTGGTTTAGTGGGAAATCCTCGCTTAACTGCTATTTTTTCCATGTTTGCTCCCCTTCCAACGTCAATCAAGTGGATGTGGCTTCTGTCTTGCAACCTATGGGCCCCCTCGCTCAACTTACACTTGCCATCGAGATGCGGAGATGTGGTGGCTTGGCCGTCGGAGGAAGCACTCAACATGGCTGACACTCAATTGCTTCAAGTAGGCCACGTGAAGAACAACCCGACATCTGTCAAACTTGCACGTGCCACATAGCTGGCCTTCACTTTGGACTGGACACGGATGCCAGTCCCAAACTCCAACCCTACCCTTCCGACTCGTTTCAGGATTCTTCTTTCCAGACCAGAGCAATGAAAATCGCCCGACAGTTCTGAGAGCTTTCCTGTTGCAAGGCCCTTTGGTCACCGTCTTCCCCCAGCCCGTTTGCCAATACTATTGTATAGTATACCTGGCTGAGCCAAGGGTATTGACCAGATGAATCGACATGGGCAAATTCCAGAGAAGTGATCTGGAACCTTTCTCAAATGCAACACCCTGGAATGAACATCGACCAGGTTGAAGTCAGCTGGGTGTCCATTCATAGGTAAGACCTGGTGGGCGAGTTGGTAATCTTAGGTTTCTATGTGGTTTCCATTGGGGGTTGGTAATAGTTGGTAATCCTGGTACTGGTAATGTGGTAATGCTGGTTGTCCTGTTTTTTTTGTTTGTTTTTTTTCCCCCTAAAGCAAACCAAATGGCTTTTGCTTTTCCTTTTGGCGAATGCACTCTGCCAGGCTGTGCGTCTGCTGAAGGCAGCGACATATGCGGCAGCAGTGGACCCTGAGACAGGCGGGGTGGATCGGGTGGGGCGGGGAGGGGTGCGGAAGTATCCATCGTGGAACCTGTTTTGATCAGGGTTGTGGTTGATCACTCGGGGTTTATCCAACCACTTCTGTGATATCTTCGGGAATCCCCTCTTTACATGGCGGGTTAGTCTTTGGGGTTAGGCCCTTTTTGTTGTATCACAGAAGTTGTCATTCAATCATTTCCCACAGCCCTGCAGATGATGGTTTCATGATAGCTTGCATGTTGGGAACACTTCGTGGATTCCGTTTCCCACAGCCCTTGTGTTGATCGTTTGCAGTACATTCAACCAGATACGCAAGTCTCAAGCTGGGTTCCAAAACGGCTGCAAAAAATGTCCGCTCCGCGGCTAAAGGATTTTTATGCAGATCCTTTGTGAGACGTGGACGACAGCAGGGTGGGAACTGTTGGGTGAAGCTCTGGTATAACCAGGCGCAAGTTCGAGGGGAAGCTGTGGGTCTTAGTTGGCCTTTTCCTGGTACCCGGTACCCTATTGCCCGGGTTCAAGAGGGAAGCAACCAGCTTGATCTTGTGGAGCGGCTCTTGGCATCTTTTAAGGTTGGAAACCATTGGAAACAGCAGGAAGGTGCCAAAATTGCGTGTGTCGTGCCTTTTTCGGAGTTCTTGCATTTTTTAAGGTTGGAAACAGCAGGAAGGTGCCAAAATGGTGTGTGTCATGCCTTTTTCGGAGTTTTCGCAGATAATGCTTTATCCAATGACAACATGACAACATGCAGAGAATGCTTTATCCAGTTTGGACACATGGCCACACGTCATGAGATCGAACGATCTATGAAGTACTGGAGCGGTTTCTGTGACTAGGTCCCCCAGCTAGGTGCCAACTTTTGCCGTTCCTTTTTTGGGGGAGGGTTCCCCAGCTAATATAGACAAAACCGGAAAAAAGAAAGAACAAAAAAAGGGGAAAAAAACAGTTGGTACCCTTATTCTAACAGCGCTACTGGAGGACCGAGGTGATATTTCTTTTTTGTGGCCTGTGCCTATCTCAAAGACGTGAAGCCTGGTCGCAGTGAACAGGGAGCCCGGGAAAGCACAACTGAGCCTGTGGTAGATGGTGATGCCCTCAAGGCTGCTGCTTGTTTCTCTGGTGTCTCACCCAAAACTTTTTTTCTGATTTAGAAACCCATTTAGGGTAGACCAAATATGAAGCTGAGTTAGGTCATAATATGAATTCCGCGTTCTGTGTTCTTTCTTTTTTGCGGGCCAAGGTTATTCTCTGGGTGATTTCAACCGCAAAGGAGACCTTTCACTTGGTATCTGTGCAGGCCTGATCGACTGGGAGCAGCCACTGGCCAGCATTTGCAGTGTCACGACCGTGGGTCTCATTTCATGTAAGTTTGGTGGAAAAGAGATCGAACTGGTTTTGGTTTGGCTCTAAATCACTCATGTACAAGCGCCATCTATTGTTCCAAAATGATGTCTGGGGTCATGGGCCTTTGGGGTTGGACATGTGCATCCTTTCACGGGCCGGCTACTCCTGCGTGCTGGAGCCAGATGCTTCTGAGGTGGGACTTTTGTTCGGAAGCATATGCAGTGATTACATTGTTCTGCCTCGCACTTTGTGTTGACACACCCCTTCGAAGACTTTCAGCACGCAGCTCTGAAACTTGGAGCATTGATGCATGGTACTTACTTGGACACCGTTTGCGCACACCGTGAAGCAGAACCAGCGGCATTTAGAAGCACATGAGCTTGTCCCCGTGACATTGGCCTTTTTTTTGTCACGTCGCAAGACCGAGGCTGATTGTCGGAGTCAGCGCTGGCAAGCGCAAGCGCATGAAGGCAGCGAGTGCAGATGTGTTGTTGCTTCTTGATTGGGGCAACACGGGCGACACCTTTCTTTGCTGGTTGACTTTAAAGGCAGACCAGTCAAGCTAGAAAAAGGGCACGTGTTGTTGTTCATGGACTGAGCCTTAATGACACACATGTTATGTTGCAATAATTTGATACAACAGCCAACGCCTCCTCAGGTCAATATCGGCTGGCAAACTCCCTTCATGAAAATTGGTTTTTGCCCCCGACCTACAGGCCACTCATGCTTCATGTTCAGTTGGTCAGTTGCAACGTCTTGAATCTCTTGGCACAAAAAATCAGCCAAAGAATACAACCAGGGCTGCTTTGTTTGACTGCCAGCGTCAACATCATTTGTTGTGCCCATTTTGAGCTGTGCTCTTCGGAGCCAATAGACAATTGTCAACCCATGTGTTGGGTTCTGTCTCAGCTTGGGCCAGACGAATACAGTGTTGATTTCACTTGTGCTATGAGCATTGTGTTTCAATCAGGGTCAATATACAGGCTGGGTGCTAGCCAACTGCTGTTTGAGATTGTTTTTCTGGGAGAAGAGCAGGTCATTTGTCTTATGTCTCCAGACTTCTGCTGTGGCATTGTTGATGGCATCTTTTGTTTGGTTGCTCCTCATTGTATCCAGCGTGAGACCGGGCCCCACGTCGTGGGTTCCATATTGCGTTTTGAGAAACCACGGGTCCCTTCAATCATGAACCATGCAACCATCCTACCAAAACCACACTAACCAACCATACTCACCAACCCAAACGGGTACCAGCTAAAAAGCAAGTCAAGTTTTTATTTATTTGAGCATCAACCAGAACCAATGTACAAAGGGTTACTGTCCAAAAGCAGCCGCCATCTTGTTGGCTCTCAATGCTCAAAGCCACAAACCACCAATCCAAACCACCTAAGGGTGACCTGAGTAATTAATTACAACCAAGCAAGCCCTTCCCGGGTTCCCCTCCTGACATAGACTACAGGGAAAAGGGTACCCTTATTCTAACCTCTCTACTGGAAGACCTAGAAAGCTGATCGCCTTTCATGTCCAGGTCCCCTGAGCAAGTGAGGAGTGGCAACCCCCGAGAAGGTCCTCCAAATTTGTCAAAGCTGGCCCTCCCAAATGGTTGCAAGTTCAGTTGGCTCAATGGACTCCCCGATCCGTTCGCCTTTTGTTTCCGGGTCCGAACCTTTCATTTGCCTGTTGGTTTGAAAGGGAAGTGGTCACCGGACACATTATGTTGTGTTTTTCTATGTTTTTCTCCCCCAGGGGGCGAAAAAACAAAGAGAAGGACAAGGGCAACTGATCATTTGGGGTGCGGTCCGCACAATGGGACCTTCCTCGTTTTGGTTGCAGTTTAATTAGCAGTTTCTATCCAAGCGAAAACGTGTGGCGTTTCTATCCACATTGGTTCGACCTTAAGAAGGAAAGGGGGGGTCGTTTTTCACAAATGAGTCCGTCAACGGTGTTCAAAAATGAGCCGAACTCGGCGTTCGACAACTTCCATGAAGAGCATTTTGTATTTTTCCCTGCTGGTGCTACAAGGGAATCTATCACTACTGGAACTGTTTTTTTCCAGTGGACTTATATATAAGCAAATGGAGGTCTCTGTGTTCTTTAATGTTACCCCATGTTCATCAACCAACCAGTTTATCAATGGGGGGTGGTTTTGGCTTTTTGGCCCCTCCAAAAGGGGTCCGATTCCAACCACTAAACCCAGGGATCCCCCCCCCCTACTGTGGATGGACAAAATCCTGCACCACCTAAGAACTCCTGGAATGATTCGATTCCCTGGTAAATACTAACAAACCTTCTGGTTTCAAGCATGGCTTCAAAGTGGTGCGGTTTATGGATTTCGCAACCATGCACAGTATCTCCCTTTGGTCTATCCCGTGAGAACGCATTCAGTCTGCCTATGTTATTGCGAGCTTTCCTGGGGGGTCATCATGATCCCTGACATGGAGATCCCTTCATTGTGTTCGACATTTAGATCCCTTCAACTCCCCACACACGAAAGCACTCGGCCAGGACCTGGAGACCTTGCTCCAGGAGCTCATGGCCGAGCGGGGGGAGGCCATGCGCGAGGATGCGGTGAAGGCACCGAAGAGGGCCGCGGTTTTGGTGGTTTCCTTGTTTGGTGGTGGTGCGGTTGCTTCGTTGGTGTCTGTTGTTTTTTTTTTTTGGTTGGTTTGAATTGGTTGGGTTGGGTTGGGTTGGGTTGGGTTGGGTTGGGTTGGGTTGGGTTCGGTTGGGTTGGGTTGGGTTGGGTTGGGTTGGGTTTGTTGGTTTGGGTTGGGTTGGGTTGGGTTGGGTTTGGTTGGGTTTGGTTGGTTGGTTGGTTGGTTGGTTGGTTGTTCGTTGATGTTTCTCGAAATTTCCGGGGGGAGGGCGACGGGCTTGTTGGGATGGACAGTTTTTGGTAACGCCGGATCCAGTTTCCGCGTGGTGTTTTTGTTTTTTTTGCACGGCGGATTGGTTCGGTCGGTGTGAAGCAGGGTTGTGGTTGATCACAAGGGGTTTATCCAACCACTTCTGTGATATCTTTTGGGAATCTCCCCCTTGTGGAGGGTTAGTCTTTGGGGTTAGGCCCTTTTTGTTGTATGACAGAAGTGGGTTCCATTTCCCACAGCCCTGGTGCGAAGTGAAGCGAAAAGGAAGACCAGCTCGCTTGGGTACCCTTACTTTGGGCACATTCTGTCGTGTCGAGGTTAGGAAAGCCAGCTTGCCGGATGGTAGTTTTTCGAGGTATTGATGTTTGTGCACCCGCTGCAATTTGCTGGGCTGCATGGGGACAGGGTTATTTCAGTTGTTTCTGGACCGTTTGAATTCACATCAGCAAGTTTGCTGGCGCTTGACAGCTTCAGTGACGTCGTGTGGGAGACTCTTCTTTGATCGGGGGTTCCCACCACGCGCGGTAGACTAGACTTACACAAAACATGATGTTTGCTTGTTTGCTTGCTTGCGTGTTTGTTTGGTTAGTCAATTTGTTTGTTTGGTTTGTTTTGTTTGTTTTGTGTGTGTTGTTTCTGTGTGTGTCCGACAGCCAGTCTGCCACAAAGCTTGTTAGCTCCTTGTTGGGGACCAGCCTTTGAAGGCTGCACAGCTTGCCAGCGACTGCCAGGCCGCTCTCAACGAGAAGTTGGGCGAGAGAAAGGAGCTACTGCCAAAAACAAGACCGATCTCAAACCGGTGCGACGGGGTTTGGTGGGCGACCCGGAATCCGTGAACTTGTTGGAGGGCCCTTATTTCAGGCTGGTGACTCATGTCCGCTAGACAGATGCGTGAGAGATGAGGAAGCGCCGTTTGGGGACAATTATGAATCTGTTGCTGGACGTACAGACAAGCGAGGTCACAGGAATGGCGCTTCGCCACCTGGTGAGAAGGAAGCTTCCTGTAATGTCGAGCCTGACAGACGAACAGAGGGGGTGTGGGACGGTGTCTCGAAGGCTTCACAGGGAGAACAACAGCAATTGTGTGGGCTCCATACTGTGGATGGACGAAATCCTGCACCACCTAAGAAACCTGGAATGATGATTCCCCTTGAAGTACCAGCAAATAATATTTTCCCATGGTTTCCAAGTGGTGCACGGTTTCGTCCATCCACAGTATCTCCCTTTGATCTAGCATTCAGTCTGCCTATATCATTGCGAGCTCTCGTGGGGGGCAAACGTCATCATGATCCCTGACACAGAGATCCCTTCCTTGTGTTCGACATACTGTGGATGCACAAAATCCGTTTCGCACCACTTGGAAACCATCGGGAAACCCTTGTTTGTTGTTATTTACAGAGGAATGGAATCAGAAACCAGGGTCTCTGAACGGTGGTGCGAATGGATTTAAAGCAACCATCAAGAGTACTGTTTCCTCAAGTTTCCGCCCTAGGCTCTGTTAGGCTCTGTTTAGTACAAACCCCTTTGCGTGTTGCCCAAGTGGGCTAGCCCATAGGCTATGGCCCCCTGGGATCAAAAACCTAACGGCACCTGGGGTTCCTTCGTTCAGGAGCAGCTGCTGAACGACGCAGAGTTCTCCTCGGCCCTGCGGGTGCGCCCGAAGCATCCAAGATGGCGGTGTGTCAAAAGCGTTTTGGGATCCCATTTTGGTTGGTAGGTGAATTCACCGCCCATTTTAGAACCTATTTTAGGGGGATTGGTTCCCGTTCACTGGGGGTACGATTTGGATTTTAACCCATGGCCATATGGAACCCAAGACCCGCGAGGAGATTCCTCTAGTAGAGTTTGGGGTTCGCGTGTTTTTTTTGGAGTTTGTTCACTTGCAGCATCTTTTTTGCGGACTGATTCTTTCAGGGACAAGGCAACCCGGCAGCCCGTCTTTCGGATTCTAAACGAACACCGAGAATTCAAAGCAAATCACGCCTGGGTGCTTGTTCTGTTTTGGAAGCATCCTTTTAGAATTATTTCAATTGATAAAGGGAAGCCAAATGGAACCCGACCATTCATGTGGTGTCCCCTATTTTCACGTTCGCGGTTCGCGACGCACATACAGAAACGTGAGCAAGCATAGTTTTGTTCACAGGCAAGTGCCCGTTTTAGAAGTATAACTTTACCTTTCAGAACACTTTTTGGAAAGCGCAATTTTTCAGTAGCAGGCAGCGCACCTTTTGTTGGGGTCAGAATCGCCGCGCCAAGCCGCGCATTCACGGCAAGTTGCGATGCGAGGCGGCTGAGCAGGCGGGAGTCCTGCGAAGACACATGAAGATGATCGAGCCAGCAGGCGGGCAAAAAAAGCAACGGGCCGAGGGACACTGTAAACCAGCCCGTACTAAAGTAGACTACAGCAAAAAGGCAGCCTTATTCTAACATCTCTACTGGAGGACCTAGTAAAGGCACCTTGCGCCCCATTGCTCCTCGCCTCCGACTCTAGTCACTAAGATTGCCACGGTGCTCCTCGCCTCGGCTCTGTCTTTGCATCACTCCTTTAACCACGAGGGGATGGACATACTGATAATCTACATATTATATATATATATATCATTTATATTGTACCTCCCCCCACCGGGACCTACCTTTTTGAAGAATTCACTGTGTGCATGTACTCTTTTGACGTCTCTGGGCGGGACGCTTCGCTCCAGGCCCGCTGGCTTCATAGATCGTGGCCGAGTATATGTTTTTTTCTCGCCGCTCGGCTTGGGGCCCCGCGGCCCAAGGATGGGATTGCGACCCCCCAAACAGAGTCACTGCGCAACCAGGGCACTGCGCATTCATGTTGACTTCGGAAATTTGATACGTGCCTTTTCTTGAAAAGGGGAGGACACATTCTTGAATTGGGACACACTGCTGGGCTTGACTTACCCTTGTTTTGGGGCACTCGGCGACTGACTGTCGATCTGATGGCACAACCAGGCGGTTCTCATTGATGAATCTGACGTTAAGTCGGGCCCGCATACAGAGCTTGTCATTGTTTGCACGCCTGGACAATGGTTGCCCCAGACACGGCTCTTGGGTATAGTCATTTCTGCCGTACCAGCATGCGCAAGTGCAAGCATCTCAGGTGAGTTGCTTTGTGAGGCAGTCGCAAGTTTCCAAGACTGTCTTTGAGGGGAGTGATTGCTCGCTGCGATGCTGTTGCTCAATGGTTCGACACGCAAGGATGGGCAAAACGAGCGGCTTGTAGTGCGGCTTGTAGTCTGCTTCAAGCGCCGCATCGCAGCAGGGGGGCAGGATTCTGTGGCAATCCTGCGAGTGGTACTTGGCTGTGTGCTATCACACAGCTGATGTGTCGCAGCAAAAGAGGCGCGAGAGGCTGCTTAGGTTCACCGGAGCTAAAGAGTCCCCAAAACAAGTTGTGGCAGGATCCCCAAGCACTACTTGGACTGCTTGAACTGGCCATTAGCAAGGAATAGCAACAGTATTGATTCCGTAGGGCAGGGGCAGATTGGCATACATTTGGTGGTTTTGAATGGTGGCAGAAGTGCTTGGTTAAACCAGCACCTCAACAACGCCTGAGCCAACCGCGTCCAAGCTGAATGCAGTTGCCCATGCATTGGTTGCAAGAAGCACCTCGCCAGAGAAGGATTGTGGCTTCTTTGTCTTTGTGTTCCTGACAACATTTTTCCGGAGCTTGAGCCCGGCAGGGACTGCAGTGGGAGCGCAGCCATGCGTTGCTGGCACGGTCGGCGCCTGAGAAAGTCGCGAGACAGCCGGCCGGCATCAATTAGACTGCCTTTTATTTAGCGAGCTCACCTAGGCTCGGGCTTGTAGTTGTGCCTGTGTTTTGACTTCTTATTTGGGATTCGCCCCAATGTTTGGTGGTGAAAGCTTTGAATCAACCTTGGCAAGACATGGCGCCCTTGTGCATCAAGGTGCCATTTTTTTCGGCATGGGAGGCAATGAGCTCTCGCCCGGCAAGCAACCACGTATTGTAAAGGTGCTTTACAGCCATAGGAATCCCACCTTATCCTTGGTTTCTTCTTGATTTGGCTCTTGGTTGAAAAAGGAACAGCCGCCAAAGGCAACTGCTTTTTCAGGGTGGAAGACCAAGGTATGGTCTGATTTGTGCACAGCCCCCCCAGAGAGAAAAAAACAAAAAACAAAAAATGTGTAGAGCCGATCGCCCCGGACCCATCGCCACCGATCGATCGCCCGATTTTTCCCGAGGATTGCGGGGTGCTCTCTGGTGCCCGACTCGCTGAGCAGCGTGGCTGCGGTCAGCAGCTGCGAAAAGGCGCGGCTCCGGAAGCTCCGTGGACGGTGAGCCACAGATTGGCCGCAGCCCCTGAGTTTCACGTTCTGGAAAGACAAGTCTGGAAATAGGAAGGTGTTGCTTTTGCTTTGCCAATCCACTCAGAAAGTGAGTTGGTAGAGGCAGCCTCTGCCAGGCATGCCTTTAGGCCTCCTTTGAGGCCTTTGCTTCATTGGACATAGTTTCTGGAGGCTGAAGGCTTTGTTGGGAGAAGTATGGAATATTATATAATATTATGGAGTATCAAATCCTCAAAGGCAGGCAACGCAACATCAAGAACAGCATGTTGATCCCGAGCTCCGGCGAAGTCAGTTGAATCGAACGCTGCAACTCGAAAGTCTACTTAGCCAGATCACAATTCTCATGCTTCACAACCAACTTACAGAGGCCCAGCTGCTTTGTGTGCATTGGCACCCAACGGTCTGGAAAACAAATCAGCAGGAACTGATTCTTCCCTTGCGGTTTCTGCAAGGGAACATAGGAGAAACAAGCAGCAATCGCCTGTAGTGCCTGAAGCGTACACATGTTATTCTGTGCACATCATCCGTTCTTCACATCCGTTCAGGTAACTGACATGCAGGGAATTGCACCATCTACTTTTAAACTTGGGTACCAAGAGCAACCCTCCCCAAGCGTCTCCTGGCTTTGGGATTTGTGTGTCTTGTTTTCAAGGAAACAAGCATCCAGCGCACAGAGCTTCCTATACATTGTTCCCTCATCGGATGAGCACTGTTCTATCCATGTTTGATGGTTGAGATGGCCCAAGGACGCCCTGGACGTTTCCCAACGGGAAATTCCATTTTGTTTGCAGCTCGCCAAACATGGCCGCTTTGCTCGTTTCAGGCAACACCCACATGGTCCCCCACCAGATAGTAGGTAGCTTTGCTGGTTTCCCGCTCAAAACCCCGAAAGGTGGCAACTATCAGTTTCCGATCAATGAGCACAATTAACTAAAAAAGCAATCAGCGGTCCAAATCAAAGACAACTCAACTTCACCACTTTTTCTTGCTGGCACTCAGCCGGGAATGACCTTCAGGATGTTGGGAATGAACCATTTGGATTCGGATTCCTTTCAAGGATTCGCCACCAGTCGGATTGTTCATAGGGGCTGTTCCATGCAACTCATTCCTGGCATCTCTCGCATCAGCAGGCCGCATGCTGGCAACCTGCGCTGGCAGTTTTGGAGGCGACAAGTCGGAGGTTGGTGGTTTAAAAAGCCAGGTCCGATTTTGGCGTGTTAGGGGTAGGCAACCGATGCAACCTATGGCTTCAACCTGTTTTGCAAACCTAAACGGACACCCCGCTGGTCACCGACAAGCAGCCGCAGCAGTGAAACAGACGTCGACGAAAAACAACAGATGCTTGGTGCGTTGCTGTCTCCGATCCGTTGATGTACTTATAGTGCGTATCAATCAGTTAGCGCTCGGAATGCCAACGTTAAGTGCTAACTGTTTGGGCGCTTGCGCTGCGTTTTTTCCCAAGCCGAGTTTGAGGCCCAACAGTTAGCACTTCAACTTGTCTGGCAGTCGGATTGTTCAAGGTCTTTGAGGCTCCGCATCAACATAGCTTTACATGAGCAATTGTAGGCTGGATTCGTGGCATCCGTGCAGGATCCTGAGCGGGATCCCTAGCACGCTTGCGCTTGCGTTCCCCCACACCTTTGCGTGGCATCCGTGTTTTGGCTTCCCTTGCCTTCACTTTTGCATTTGCGTAGCATCTGTCGGCCCGAGCGGGATCCAAGCGTGGCGTTGCTTGCGTTCGCCCCGAGCGAGATCTCGAGTGTTTTTGCGCTTGCGCGCCGAACGCCTTGCGCGCCATCCGGTTGACCCGAGCGGAATTCCGCGCCTGTTCGTAGGCTCAGCCCCATCAAAACTTTGATAAAGTTTGAGCATGAAAGGTGGCTGCGGAAGGAATGAGAAATGGTCTCCGGGCAAATCCACCCCCGAATCGATGCTTCCCGCCCGCGACGTGAAAGACACACAGAGGCGCTGGCACGGACCAACACAGCCACGCTGCGGATTTCGCTCAGGCCGAACACTTGCAAGGACCAGCAAGCGGCCGAACCACTGACTTACAGTTAGCACACGACCCTTTTGCGCCTTGTTTGGCCGTGTCAGCCAGGACTCTTCGTAGCATGCTTGTCTATTTGCTGTTTCCTGCAACGTCAGCCCAGCTGTCTTGATAATTTGAATTTGGCTTCGGGATTCGCAAACAACGGGCCTTAAAAGCCTGGCAACTCCACCCCTACACCCCTAAAGCAATGCTTTGGAATCCTGAGCCTGTCCGCGTTGTTTGACGGAGGCCTTATACGTGGCATCCGTGCAGGATCCCGAGCGGCATCCCTAGCACGCTTGCATTCCCCCACACCTTTGCGTGGCATCCGTGTTAGCCCCAAGCTGGATCCCGAGCATTCACATACTAGCACATAAAGCTATATGGGCCCTTCTTACAAGGTGAGCTATTTGCGGCTCCTCGATGCAGTTGGCTGCATCCTAGTCTCCTCCTTTGGGTTGGTCACCAGGGCCTTGCGTGAGGTGGATTGTTTCTCACGGCTGGTGGAGAGAGTGAGTCTTTGCTTTGTCGGGAGGCAATGCGCTTTCTCAGCATGCTGTTGGTGTTGTTGGTGCTGTTCTGACTTGCTGCTTGTCAATCATGTTGGTTCAGGTCAATGTTAACCTTGACCCCTAACAAGGAGGATGGCAGCATGGTGTTCGTTCATAAAAGTGCACTACACGTATTTCGACAACATTTGCATGCTCACAATTACAGAGCTGCGTCCCAACTATATAGATGTGATACAATTAGGCTCCTTAAAACTCACGTAAGCTTGATATGCCAGACATGGCAGTTGCCACTGTGTGGTGTGTGTGTGTGTCTTATATCGCCCAAGGAGCCCCACCCATTTGCTTTCGGCTGATTGCAAATGCTCCGGGCCAATACGTCGGCCAGCCACAGTCGGTGGGGAGTCTGTTGGCTTGGCCTTCTGTGGCTCTGTTTCGCTTGCTGGTGCTCATCAGGGAATGAGGGAATGACCCTTGTAAGCCATCCCTTGCGGCTTCCTGCAAGGGAATTCTAGGTTCATTCCAGATCATTCCCTACTAAGTTACTATGGCACCGGCAAGTTGGTTTGGCCACACCAATAGCGCGTGAAGCCAATTTTTTCGACTGAGAGTTCCAGCCTTTGTCACGTGGCCAGGCTCCAACGCCGCAGTCAGTGGGAAACTTAGACTGGGAACGTTGCCGGAGAGGCTGGCTTAATTGAAGTTAGAAGCTATAGTACTGGTTTATAGCAGGGGCCCCTTGGGTGACTGTATGTTGGTTTTCCTTTCCGAACCAGCCTGAAAGGGGGGTATCTGATTGTTGTTTTTGTTGACATTGTCCCAGACCCTTTGCGCTATTCAAGTTATGGGAAGCTCACCCAAGGGAAACGAGAGACTCGCTATTACAGCAATAGGTGGCTGTGGGTCAAAACCAATGGTACCATTTTGGGGTAGATGCACCAGCTATTTTGGTCTATTTTAGTGGGGATTGGGATGTTCACTGGGGGGTATTATTTTTTTTGACCCATGGCCATTTGGGCTTGCGAAATCCAAATACAGAGAGATTCCTCCAATACCAGGGGCGCCTACGACCGATGGCACCGGCTTCAGCTGCCTTCCTGAAACCACGCATGATTTGGAGCTGCATTCTTAATTGCCATTGGGTTGGATCTTCAGACTTTAACTTTTGCGAAAGTCGAGGTGTTTTCCACTAAAGCCCCAAAAGTTAGACTTTTTGCAGGGGGGTCAACAGCAACCAAGCATTTAACCGCCTCCGATCGAGACGTGAGCCAACTTCGCCAGCATGGTCGACATGAGTTCGTTTTTGTTCAATCACGGCCGGGATGCCATAGACGTATTGC